TATCCTTCCGAGTTCTTACGGAGCCGTTTAGCCGAACAGTATATAGACGACTGTTGACGGGGATCCACTCTGGCAGTGCTTATTCCGCCCTCATGCTTAGTGCTATGCCTACACCTTTCAGTTCACGAGGACTAGACATCAGGTCGGCAGATACATGAAGGATGTGTCTCGTCCACTCTCGGTTTTGGCGAGTTGAGGTCAAGTGAGTGACCACACTGGAATCCTGTATCCGTGTTTCGGGGACACAGCATACATCAATGGAAAGAGACTCTAAGGTTTTAGCCAAGGAAGCCTGCTGACCGATTTGACATAGGGTGTGTACGTTGAAGGCTCCAATGTGTAGTTCGGAGCGAGGTTTCAGTAGACCTGGGACAGAGTTTTGAGCACTAGAATCGTTGGCTATGGTGACACTTGAGGAGGATGCCGAAAGAGGAAGTTTAGAGTTGAAAGTCGATGTAGGAGGAATAATAGGAATTGGAGAGGAAGGTTGATTATGAATACAGTGGTCTTGGGTGCTGTTAGAGGTATGAGGGCGGTTATCACTTCCCGGTTGCCCACACCGAGGAAGGGTTCTTCTGGAGGTGCGTGGAAAGGAAATCGGATTAGAGGCGGTCTCAGTGACCTGAGAGCGTGACTGCAGTGCCCAAGGGACAACTGCTTAAGACCGGTCGCGCGCGGCCTTTTCGTGGGAGGTTTTTGACGTGTTAGCTCCGTTCTCCAAAGGGCCTTACCGCCGGAGACGAAAATCCGTGGGGTAAGGTGAGGTGTGCATTTTTAGGGTCGACCTTTTCTAACCCCACCCTTTCTTGTCGCTGTCATGCTGGTTTTCTGAAGGAAACACCTTACTGCTGTCACACCTCTGTACAGTCAGCAGTACGACTTCGCCTTCAGACCTTGGGTTTGTTGCTTTTAGTCTTACCGCTCTTCAACCTACCTGTCTGACATGGTAGGACCTTGAGGAACGGCTTTTCCAGCCAGTATAGCTCGGTTGCTTCATCGCGATAGGCAAGCCCGACGACCACGTCAAGGTAACGACAACGGTCGGGATATATATATATATATATATATATATATATATATATTGTGCGTCAGAAAAAAAATCCACTACTCTGTATCAACCCGCTGGAGGGTATCACTTTCTAGTGATATATGGTCCCACTTAATGAATTACATTGAATAATTAAATTCATATTTTGTTTACTAATGTATGTCGTCGATCCATATCGTATATGGTCGTTGTTGGTTATAACACTTGTTATCATCTGTATTTAAAAGCATTGATCTCCTATCTCGAGGTCCACTTATGGACTTAGAATACGCAGATGATGTTGTCATGTTTGGTGAAGACGCTGATAAAATTCAGTCTTTTGGTAGCACTGAGCAACAATGCCAAACGGATTCAAAAAGCTCGTTTGGCTTTTGCCAACTTGTGTCACCTGTGGCGAAGGCGAGATATCCGTCTATCAATAAAAGGACGAGTATACTGCGCGGCAGTCCGTTCTGCTTTAATTTACGGCAGCGAAACATGGCCATTAAGAGTTGAAAATACTCGTAAGCTATAAGCGTTTGACCACAGATGCCTTAGAAATATTGCCCACATCTGCTGGGATCATCACGTAAGTAATAGTGAGGTTAGACGCAGGGTATTAGGAAATGATGGTAAATCAGTTGATGAGGTTATGAATCTTCACCGACTGAGATGGTTGAGCCACGTGTTACGTATGCCTGAACACCGATAACCACGACGTGCAATGCTAACCGGTGTTCGGGATGGTTGGAAGAAAGTTAGGGGCGGCCAAACCAAAACGTGGCATCAGTGCTTGATCGCAGCTGTGAATTCTTTGATTTCAGACATAATTTATGGTGAGTATACTCGGAAAACCTCTCATATATCCTTCTTTCAATCTTTCCTACGTACTTGCTTTCATGGTTGTTTAGTTAGTTATTCCCACCCAACATATCAAGAGAAGCTTAGTGGTCGTTCGGGAAAAGTGAAGAGCCTTCCAAATAGGTTTCTACTGGGCTCTGCAGAAATAGAAGTAAACGCATTCTTTTTGGTTCACTTCGCAGTCTTTGTGTGTATTTAAGGATTATGATACCAGTAGTATGGTGGATCCACTTTGCCCACATATGTAGTGCAGATGGGCACATTTTGACCTACACTGCAGTTTCCCACCAATTCCGAAATCTTTTGTGAAAGCCTAAAGCGCTGCTGGATTACTAATGAGTTCACTAGCTGAGACTGGAATTTTCTAAATTTGTCGTATATTCAAATGTACATATCAGTGATATCAACATCCTAGTGATACAAATACAGGCATAGATGGACGTGGTTGCTAATATGCTTTACATACAACCATAGAATTCGCAGTCCACTCACCCCACCAGTACTTACAGGCATCCAAGTTTTCGCGTTACGTAGACCTGTATAACGCATAGGCAGAGTCCCATACACTCCATAGGATACTTATTGGCATAGATGCAACCACCCCATGCCCTATCTCAACGGCTTCAATCACTGAATGAATATGAAGTACTCAAATCAGTACATAAAATAAGTTATCATAAATGATATGCTCATACAACAAGTAGGTTTAGTGTCGACCCCTGTGCACTGGTTACGGCACAGTTTATGGCATATGCTTTGGTGAATTTGTCATTAACATTACCGGTTGTATGGGGGCATTTGATTTGTGGAGTTTAGAAAGATCATACATGAAAGGTAAGTGTGTTCCTTCTGCCTTAAGTTCATTATAAGTTGGAACATCAACCAACTTTAAGAAGTATTTAGTAATTAGTCTGTTTCTTTTATTGATACATATAGTCCACTCGGTCTTGGTTTCGTAGTTGAATCATGTCGAAAAAAACTTCTATTTATTTTTAAGTTCCCAAATCCGCGTATGTTGTGTTATCACTATCTCAGCTTCAGTTTTGGTTTGGAAAATGTTGACCTCCTAGACGTAATTGTCATTGGGAATTCTCAAGAAACTTTCTATTCTAAACTTTTAAAAAAAAACTAGTTATATTCACGATATTCAATTTAATATAATTTATAAATTACAGCTCTCCATAATCTATTTTTTCAAATCATAACTTGAGCTAAGTGAAACAATGATTGGAAATTAAAAAGCAATGGATAGCTTTCTTGTGTTAGCATGAAAATCCTCGGGAGTGCACACCTAAGACCCAGTACATGCTACAAGAGAAGTAGAAATCATTATGATGCGACCAAGGAGTTTGTAGGGAACTTTAGTAAACTAGAGCGACCAGTCAGGAACAAAGGAAAAACCAATCACTGAGACTCATGAGCAGCGGGACGGATGCGTAGAACATCTTGAATAACACTCAAATAGGCCCACCCCACTGAACTGACCGCACTTCGGACCAGTACACAAACCTCCTTATTGATTATGCCACACCAACAATCGAAGAAATCAGCAAGGTCATGAGAAAAATAGGGTGGCGATGCACTAAGACAAGACAGCATTCCATATGAATCATTAAGGTCAGATACAGAGGTCACTGCAAAGATGTTCCACCTTCTTTCCAGGAAGATGTCAGATGAAGTACAAGTACCAACTGACTGAAATGTGAAATAATCATCAAGATATCGAAGAGAGGTCTTAATAGACATGAGAACTACAGAGGCATCAACACTGCTCTCAGTACCAGGTGAAGTTTTCAGCAGTGTTGCTGAACTGAATGAATGGTTCAGCAGACATCCAACTTCGAGATCAACATTCTGACTTTCGTATGGATCGACCACTTACCGACCAAACTATAACAGTGCGAATTTTTGTCGAACAATCAATTTTATAGAACTCATTACCACACATCAAATTTCTTGACTATGAGGAAACATCCGACATTTTGTGCAGAGAAACGTGGAATATTTTTCAGCTCTAAGGATTATCGGTAGCTCGCTCTCCATTTTCGTCTTTCTTTTGGTTGTTGATTGAACTATTTAGGACCTACACACCTCAAAAGCATAGAATACAGTAAAAATATTGGATGGAGCTGTACGATTTGAACTTTGAATATGACTTGATCCTTCTGCAACAATTGCAGACAAAGATAGCGGCCTTCTCAGCAGTCGGTCTAAACATTCAAAAGGTGCAAAACAGAATCCTGAATTAAAACACAGCAAGTACCAACCAAATCATACTTGATAATAAAGTTTTGAATGTGGTGGACGCCTTTTCATATCTGGGTTATGTTAGTGATAAACAAAGAGGATCGTATGCATATGTCAAGGGGACTATTTGGTAAAACATGGGCAACATTTCTACAGTTTAAGGATAACTGACATTCCAAACAACTGTCACCCAAAATCACTGTTAGAATTTCCAACACCGCCGTTAAAACACTCTTATTCTTTGGAGCTGAAACTTAGAAAACTACCATCACCAAAAAGGTAAAGGTATTTATAAACATGTGTTTACGTAAAATACTCCACATCCATTGATAAGAGACCAGATGCCTATTGAGGAAAAAATAAAAAAGACGCTGCAAGTGGATAGTACATTATGCGAAAACCATCAAACTACATCACAAAATAATTCGTTACTTGAAATGCTCAAAGGTAAATTATAAGAGGCAGATTAGAGAACATATGGTGCCAAAATCGGAGTCAGATATCAAGAGAATGAGTTGCACCTGGGAGCACCGAAAAGGGGAGCTCAAGACAGAGTTAGTTAGGCATTTTTGGTCAACAGTATATGCTCCTAACTAGCAACCGGGTTATTAAATAAATTAATAGGGGTTTTCATGGTATATTATCTTTCCATTATCAGAATTTATATACAGTGTTAATCTATAGTTCATAGGGGAAGGGCCACAGATTTTCTCAATATTTATGTCAGCTATTATTCATAATCTCTCGTTACATACATATTAGTTGCCTCCACATTGCGTTCCCATTGGTTCTATCTTTGTAAATGTACATCTTTCTCAGTGAAATTGTTTGTTGTTTCGTTATTTTTCGTGTATATACATTTTAGGCTTTCTCTAATCTAACTAAGGCTACATGTCGTTCCCTCTGCTCAGTCATGGTGCTAGCTATTGTTCGTGAAGCTGGTCAAATCGTATTGCATGATAATGAAGTACTGGACACTTGGTCTGTTGTGCTGAATGGGACTGTCGAGGTTAGTTAATAATTTAGCATATTCTTTTGTATTATGTTGTGCGAGCACACACGTACATGGTTTTTGTATATACCGTTCGATACGATAGTTACCACAATATTTCTAAGCTTAACACATGAAACAAAAAAATATCAACCAAAAAATTATCATCAGAAATTGTCAACCCTTTGCCTAAAACTCCGTATCCTGAGTAATCCTGATTGCTTTGTAATAAAAAACTGTTGTGGATGCGGAGGAATAGACCAATAATTATCATGTTAAGTTCAATGGTGTTCTTGAACTTCAAATGGACATTTCCTATTGGTCGATATCTGTTCACTCGTTGAATATTGTACAAAATGTTGTTTTCTATTTTATGGTACGTTGTGGTATGCTTGATTGGTATATAAACAAACTATGTTTGAAATATAATGATTCATATCTCAGAGGCTGTGACTTGTGTTCTTCACTCAACTGGGCTAGGACGGACAGCGAAGCAGGGCCAATCAGGGCACTAGGTCGTCCGTACGTGTTTTCCGTGTCCACTGTCACTGTAATCGATCGATCAATAAACCGCTGCTTAGCATAACCTGCAGTCACCCGTTACAACACAAACAACTACATTTAATTGTTGTGTTTTCATTATTTATAGCTTATTATTACCAGTTCAAATATCTCCACACCTACTGCAGTTTAGGCAGCCGGACACCATTAGTTCTCACAAAATGTAGGTGTGGTTCAAACCTGAGTACACGACTCCTGTACGTTTTTACTGAGTTACACAAAAATGAGTGAATTCGCCAATTTTGGGAAAAACACTACAGATACTGACCATTTATCTATCTATATAATTTCTTTCAGTATTAACAATTTGTTTATTTGGGTCGTTTCACATTGTGTTTACCAATAAAAGTTAAAATCACAATGTATTTTCTTGTCTGTGTTTAACGTTGCCCATTCTCTTGTTAACTATTCATTGTCTCCTGTTTTGAAAATTGTTTTCCTCAGGTTATTGAACCAGACGATACAATTCGGGAATTAACTCGTGGTGATGCATTCGGTGTTCGTCTTAGTAAAACAGATTGTATTCATCATGGTGTAATGCGTACAGTCACTGAAGACTGTCACTTTTTATGTGTACCACAAACCGATTATATAAATATTATGAGTCGTGAAGGAGAAGCTGAAATACCAGAAATGGGTGAAGGTGGACGTGTTGTCCTTGTCTATGAATCAATAAATTTAGACACAACTCTTAACATCGATTCGAATAAATCATCCAATGACAATAGTTCTGTGTTGTTGAAAAAATGTCGACTGGTCACAAAGGTTTGTTTTGAAGATTTTTGTTTAAAAAGGTCAATGAATTCAGAAAAATTGTTAACGTTACTTTTAACTAGAATCTATGGTTACATTTTAAATTAATTAACTAGTGAAGAATGATCTGAAAACGATTAGGGTATTGGGCAGCTGTTTTACCTTAGTTTAACTCCTTAAAAGTCTGCATCCATAACCATACATGGATGTGGATTGATTCTTTACTCAACCGTCCATATGTATTATGTTAGCTGGGAGACATAAATGTCATAAAATTAACTCTTTATCAGGCCCTGAGTTCACGCTGCTCCGTAGTAGAAAATGTGAATAAAACAGTTCTGCAACACTTCCCAGTTGTCTATAAATCTTTACGTGTTATCATTCTGTTGGTGACAGACTTCAACTTTCTGTATTTACTAACCTACATGAAATCGGAAATTCTGTAGATTGTTATGTCATATTACTTCTAAAGTTTTTGTTATAAGACTTCGAAATCTGTTCCGTAGATGTAAGTAATAATAAAACTTTTCTTATTCAGTTAGGGAAATAATTCCTTACCCTTTAATTGTATTGTTCAATTACCGTGTGTATCTATAGAAGTATGTATGTCTGGGATATGATATGATCGTTTATATTACGTCGGAGCTTGTGTTGAACCAGTTGTATTGATGTTTAGTAATCAGTTTGCATGAAAAGAACACTGTTAACCAAAACCAGTCATCCCAAAAATTCTCCATCTTCACTGTATCACTATGGAAAACTTACTGAGTTAGTGTCTGTTTTTTTTATGATGTGTTTGATCAACCACAATTTTGTAACAACTTGATCCAAGCATCCAACATTTAAATTTATTGTAGTGTTGGGCTGATAAACATTTTTAGTTATCAACCGTCAACTCACTTTAAAGATTATTGTTACATGTTAACTCACACTCTGTTACGTGAGTAGGTCTAACAAACATTCGTCTTAACTATTCACTATTGATGATGACGCTGGTGTCAGTTTGAAACCATGTACTTGCTGATGATTTCCTGTATACAAAGAGTATACTTATCAAGCATTGTTTCTGCTATTCTTGAAGAGATATGTTAGTACGTTATTACTTTTTCAGAATGTCGTAAAATGTTTATCACATCTTTTTAAGGATGTGTTCATAATATCCTTTCAGTTATGAAGGAGCTCTCGTTAAATAATCACGTATACTCCCCACGAAATTACTTGTTTAATGTAAATACTTGAATACATCCAACTTGTAATGAGTCATGTTGGTTGTAAATCAGTATTTTTTAACTTTAGTTAAGTCACTATCTTTCACAAAATATGCACTGTCATTAGTAAACTATTTTAATTGTAAATTCGCATACATACAAATATCAATTATTCAATCTCTTCTGATATTGTTTTCGAACCAATATTTCATTGCTTTTTTTGTTCAAATTATTTTAGGGCACACCGGAGAAACTAATTGAACATTTGATTGCTGATCTTTCCAATGGGGATATATCGTATCCAGAAGATTTTCTACTTACATATCGTACATTTTTAGATTCACCCCGACCAATAGTTGATCGTTTATTATCATGGCATTTGCATAATCCAAAGTTACGTACACGTGTTAATCGTATAATTTTATTATGGGTTCATAATCATTTTAATGATTTTGAGGATAATCATGATATGATGAAGTGCATTGAAAAATTTGATAATATGTTATCATCCGACGGCACGGGTAAGCGAGTGTATACGTCTATGTGGATGATCATTTGTTTTATATTCAGTCAATAGAACATTGTTCAGATAATCTTACCGGATAGTTTTATTACTAGTATGTAGTATCCTTAACCTAGCGATTTTAAGCATCAAGTGATTTCACAGGTTTGATTTCCACTCTGATATGACATAACACACCACCTACTTCCTCATGACCAACAGGACATCACCGGCTGTCACACAAATATTAAGGTCGACTACCCAAACCTTTAGTTGATAGATGAATTATATCAATTATTATTCTTGTTATATATCCATGTTAATGTTTCTGACAATTATTTGATTAGTCAAATGTCTAGTCGTTTCAAACCATTCATTTAAATCGTTATACTGATGATAAATCTTAATATCGTGTTCTGAACTTTGACCTCAATTTGTTCTGGGACTATCAGGAACACTACTTTGAGTCGGGTATAGTGTTGGGAGTATTTGATTATGTAAACTATTGGATGGATGTTGTTGTTGGTAGTGGTCTTAAGGTTTATATGAACTTTACATCTACTGCCGTACAACATAGCTTATCTCCAGTTATCACTTACTTAGTTCGAATTAACTAGACTATCGATTCATTCGTCTGATGTTGAGTGTATCTATCAATTCATCTGGCGTAGTATAAATTAGTGGATGTAAAGAACATCATAACCTTGATTTTTCAACGGACAACTTTTAGTGCGTTGTTCATCAATCTATCTCAACAAACTGTTGGTTTTGTGGTTTTCGTTTCTTATTTACACTCATTTAATAAGTACATGGTTGTGTACTGGTCTTTGAGTCACACTACTTCTGGGGGAATTCAAGTGATATGTCCTTTTTCCTAACACTAACGTTGGTGTCGCGAAGTTCCAACTATGGGATATACAGACTGATAATGTTGATTTGTGATTTACTGGTCGGGATATTATGTTGTTTTGATTCGGACCAATGAACTACCGCCTTTGAATCAGACCATTCACATTAGAAAAAGGTTAAACTTCAAACTATGTATTTAGTACATTTTTAGTGGCCCGTGGATCTCACTCCATTTACATCGTACGAATGTTCGTTATCACCTACCCCCGTATACATTTATCGACTTAAATCACGTTAGTCAATAACGGACGGAATTTAGATAAGTCAATTAACGAGAATGGCATTTGAATACACATATTTTGTATGTAAATTGAATGCGATAGAACAAAGCGAGATGACGCGCAGTGGAGATGGCTGGTGAGCCAACTAATTTTTAGCCAGGCGTTACGCCATATTTATAGGCAGACAAAATAAACTACAGACATGTGAGAGACATGGGATATGAAGTGTACACACATATACGGTCATATAAAAACAGTCAAGACTGATAAGCGAGTGATTGACAAGGTCAAAATATGACTCAAGTAGAATGAGTAGATTGGTTTGTCCATAAACTAGAATAAGGTATATGGGCTTAAAATAATGACTGACACTACACATTTACCCATCATTTTTGATAGTATTGAAGTATCAAACTATTTTGATTAATCGTTAATGATTAAATAAATTCTTCACCTTTAATTATCTATGTAATGTGCGTTGAGATACCCGACTAATGTTCATGTTAGAGAAGAGAATTCACGTAATTCATGTAAATTTGCATGGTGATCCATTACTTGTATGCAGAACTTTAATATTATACATCTTTACCATACGTAATGTGCATGAAATACTTAAAACAGAATAAAATCATTACAAAAATAAACCAGTAGTCGTCTTGATGTACACAGATTAGATTTGATTGCTGTTTAGCAATGTAATCACTTTTGTTAAACAATTAAATTCTTAATCAATTCGTTTCAACTTTAGTGATTGGATATAGAGATTATGAGAGAGAAGAGGTATGTGATCAAGACAGCATCATTTCATGTTATTGAATATTGGTCTCATTCACATAGGATGTTTCGGACTTATAGGTTGAAATGTATGAGCTTAGGAACTTTAAATAATGTGGTTAAAAATACGTTGCAGTAATACAGATTTGTCCATTCTTTATTTCATTGCAAGTGTTAGACTTAGTACTTTTATTTGTTGACATTTGCCTTCCTATTGACTTCGTCTTGTTGTGCTAATATGAACTGTGTCAACCTGAGCTGTTATATATTTTTGCTTAATCTTGTACGATTCATATTTGTTAGAGAAAATATACATCACATTGAAGTATGATAATGTTGGGATATTCAGAAAAATATCCTAAAAATTCTCCTGTTAAGCTTAATGCTATCCTTGAACGTGAAATGGTGTCATTTTCCTATTGGTCAATTTTTATTTCACGTGTCGTTTCCCTACTGGTCAATATTTATTTAACGGGTCATTTTCCTGTTGGCCAAATATTGTACAAATGTTATTTTTTCTATTTTGTGGTACGATGTGGTCTGTCTGGTTGATTTATAAACTGAGTATGTTTGAAATAAATGATTCATATCTCAGAGGCTGGGAATTGTGTACTGGACTTGACTGGCTGGGTTAGGCGGAAAGCAGGGCCAATCAGAATTCTAGGCTGCTCATACGGGTTTGCGCTTCATTGATCCGATCGATAAGTCACTGCTCTTTAATCGGCGGTCACAAGATATAACAGATAATTATATGAAATTAGCGATCAGAATTACAGTAATCATTGTCACATCGATTAAGTTATGTAGGTTTTTTGTAAAATACTATCATGTATCACTTCGTGTTGGTTTAGATTTGCATAGATAACTTTTGGGTAGATAATACTAGCTTATAAGAAAACATCAGTTTCACTTGTTAGTTTTTTTATAACGATTTCGAATGGAAATTTTTTTCCATCCCCATCTCCCAATAGTTTTCATTGTGTTTCGTCCAATCAAGTAGCTAGTTTTAAGTTCGTTATAATTGGTCGTTTGTTCCTTAAAATTGATATAAAGTGTCAGGACTTGACAGAGCGCATTTCCTTACAATTATGGACGGTAGTAACGTGCAAAGCGCGAGCTCCGTCGTTTCTCACGTTGTCACAGGAACCGACAGCCTATTTTTGAGCACATTGTATCTCGTAGTGTTCCAATCTCTTGAAGCGTTGAAGAGCGCCATTTAAACTTATGAAAAAGCTACGTAATGCCATTATGTTGTGAGAGATTCTCATTTCCATGGAGATCGGAAGCCGTATATTAGATTCGTATGTTGGAGAAGTCGCCATAAAACGGTTAGCGGTTCCTCACAGCCGAGTAGACGAGAGAGGTAATTTGATTAGTGCTATTATGATTTTTCATAAAGGACTTCCGTGAACACTCGATGTCCTTCCTTCATCTTTTGTAAGTTTATTGAAGGTTACGAGTGCAATTCCTTAAGGTACCAAACTAATTCTTGGATGCGCAGGTTAACAGAGATGGAGTTTGAAACAGTACGACCACTTCTGATATCTGGGACAGCAGCATTCAATATTATGCACTTTGTTTACCAATCTTATAGAAAGCGTATTAATGCTCAAGATGTTTTTGATATGCGCCACAAAGTTTTCTCACAAGGTTGTAGGATTTCGAAAAAAAATGTCAACTGAAAATCGTGCGAAAAATGGTAAAATTTCGGGAAGTAAATTGCCGTCGTATTCATACTGCAGTTGAATTTCTACTTCTTATTTCCAGAAAAAATTTCCTTCGTTTTCATTATCCTTACAGCTGGTGAGCGTCGTCTTTTTCGTTTAGCCTGCAGCACCAAAGCTCGTCCACGTCAAGTCGAACTTATAATTCCGTTGAAAAATTCATGTCATTCAAATCGAGGTAATAAATCGTTCGGAGTTGATGATGGTACTGTGTTTTTGTCATCAAATGGACAACACTTGGACAATAATTGTAATACAATAAATTCTCTCATTGATCTACCATTCACAATGATTGGTGGCGAGGATGGTTTTGGAGTGTTTATACATCAAGTGAGTGATTTGGGTTTCATCTGTTCCTATGAAGTTTTCTGTTACGCATTTACCAATGGATCATTTGATTACCTATTTAATTGTAAAGTTACATGTATATATATATATATATATATATATATATATATATAGAGAGAGAGAGAGAGAGAGAGAGAGAGTAAAACGTTTAAACGTCCTACAAACTTAGTCAGTCATAGCAAAATGTTGAACTGGGTACTTATTTGTATAGATCAGAATTGTTGTTTCAATTCGCAACAATATAAGAAATACATGTTATAGAGTGTAAGTTTAGGACAAAATCGACGAACCGAAGGTATGAAAAAGAAACGAAACTCAATTTGACATCTGAAAATTACTTGATCACATTTCTGGTTAACTTAATAATAAAACGGGTGTAATATTCATCTTCAAAATTTCTTTGAGTCCCTTGTAATTCCTTTAGGAATTCTCTATCGTCAGGGCAAAATACGGAAAATACTTCGACAATCAACGCTCTTTGTAAAACTGTAAGAATATATTATACTCTCGATCATACTTTTCCAACCTTATTGCAAAACTCCCAAAATTTCTGCTAATCTTTATATTCTTTTCCTTAGGTTTTTAGAATCTCAAGTTCGCCCATGATCCTGTGGGAAACTTCAGTCAGTCATGGAGATAAGAAAGGTATTAGGAGGTGTAGGAAGGATTTGAATGTGACCAACTTGCTCTCGTGTGCTGTTACGGGTATGAGGGCTGATATCACTTCCCGGCTACCCACACCGTGGAAGGATATTTCTTGAGGAACCTGAAAAGGAAATTGGATTAATGTTGGCCTTAACGACCTGGAAGCGTGACCACAGAGCCCAAGGGACAACTGCTTGGGGTCGGTCGTGCACGACCTTTACATGGGAGGTTTTTAATGTGTTAGCTCCGATCTTCAAAGGGTCTTACCACCGGACACTTAACCTTCGAAGTAATCCTTCTCCTATACTCTTCGCCTTTCGTTTTGTTCTTTTTGGTATTTAAGACTGAAAAATTTCTGGTGACTAGGATAAAGCGCAATAGCATAAGCTTTATCAACGGTTTATTTAATACGGTAGCAACTAAATAGTCCAAAGCTGTACATTGATATTCAGATTTTCACCTTCACTGTTCTCTCAGTTCATTAGTGAACATTGAATTTAAGACTAAATACAAATAGCATTTTGACAAGTTTTTTTCTGTTGTGCTCATCGTGATTGTGCTTGATGGATAGATTTTCTTGCTTACTGAAAGTTATTTGGTCTGTATTTATTTGTTAGGGTATAATCTTATTGTGTACATCTTTCATCCAATGTACAGATAGAAAAAATAGTAGTGTATTTCATGTCTATTGTTAAATGATAGCATCTTCTGTGTCTTCTAAGTAAATGCATCAGTACCTCCTCAAACTATTTCTCAATATGTGTTACCCACCCTTTATTTTAAGCAGTATATAATCAACACTTCTGTAAGTTTTTATCGTTAAATATTTTTACCGTTTATTTTCTGATTGCGCACTCAAGGTATATAGTTTAGTCTCAAACAATAATTCTGAAGCAAGCTGTGATGAGCAAACAAACCAAAAATATCTCACTAATCCATCTTCATTATCGTTATCATCACCATGCGACTCAAGCTATCCACCATCATCAACAACATGTGTACTTCCTAATTTTTCATTTGTACATAATCAAATACGTCGGGCTGACCAATTATTATCAGTGAATGGTCGTTCAGTAGAACATTTAAAACCATCTGATGTCATACAATTAATTAATTCAATGATAAACGCATGTTGTCCAGTGGATATTAAGACTAAATCAAATACCAAACTAGTATCTGGTACCAGTGGATCATTGTCTCCTTCGACTACACATTATTCAACCGGTATAGACAATGATACTATGCTAGATCATTCCAAATCATCTACATTATCGTCAGTCATCAGTGTTACTTTCAACCTCCGTTTGTTAGTTATTTTTAATCCAGTTCGTAAGTAAAATCACCTGTTACAGTTCAATTTTCCATGCATTACTTTTCAATAAATGCGTAAACTAGAAACCAAGTAAATCTCTGCCTTTCTGTTGAATTGTTGTAGGTGTATAGCAATACATTTTTTTCATCTCATCGACTTTCGAATTCCTTTTTCTGGTGTATAGACTAGTGAAAATATTCAATCTTCCTAATCGAAGAAGATATGGCTGGCTACGAACCTACGTCTCAACAGTTTAAAGTCGGAAGCTCTGACCATTAAGCCACAGTCGTCGCTAATCACTTGATGGATAATGAACTGATATTAGCTTCCATGCTACAAAATTTTAAACACCTCCTACTTACGGAGACGCGCGTTGACATTTAACATGAGGATAAGTTAGATATCCATTGCGAGACAGACAGACAAAGATGTGATACTTGTTGTTGTGGTTGTATATCGCTTTATGCCTTTTAAACCATACTGCTTCATGTTTGCTCAACTTATAGTTCTTAACAACTAACGTATTTATGATAACTTTTTAGAGTCTCACTAGTTTGAGAATATTTTCTTTCTCAGATGAAATGCAAAGTTCTGTTCCAAATACAAAATTCAGTATATTGTCGTTGGTTGAATGACTTCATGCTAGTATGCTGATATTTAGAAGTGTGTGTGAATTAATCATCGAAATTCATAAAATTGTCGACCTGTCTGACGGCTTTCAATAACCAAGTTAATGATCTTTTGTGCTTGAAATAATGTTTGGTAGCTCATTATCGTCAGATTTTTCGGCTTCTAGCAAACGTAATTAGAAATTCAGACTTTCAGATACAAACTACAAATTCGCTAGTTTGTAAAGTCTTCATTTGATAATATGGCGAAACACTAAGTTTATAAACATTTAATATGGCTTTGATTTCCAAACTGTTCCAAAATATATCTGCGTTAAAGTACTGTCAAGTAAAAAAAATTAACTGAGTATTTTTCCTGATATTTTAAAACGTTCACAGTAGCAAACACATTTGTGTATTTTAATAAATGTAAAGTTATATACTCATGTTTCCCAATATGGTTATTTTCCTATACGTTTATTTAAATTATGCGTTTAATATCTTTCCTAAACTCGAAAAATTGCTGTTAGATTTGAACAAAAATTCATATCAAATAAAAAAATAATCTGTGAAATGTTCCCATTCATTTTCTGAATAGCTGGATAAATTTAAGATTCCATATTAATTTTTTCATACATCACAAAATTTTGTTAAGCTAGTAACAGAATTTGTTGTTGTCCGCTTCGTCGAAGTCGTAGCAGTCATACTGAGTATTGTCGTGAAACGTAGTTCTTATCAGTGGATTTTGATTTTCTATACGTTGTATCCGATAATATGTTACTCCACATTTTTAATCGCTAGGTATTTCATCCGAGTTCCGTTGGAAAAGTCATCACTTGACATTCCAGCTACAGGAGGCCACCGAATTCAAAATATAGTGAAACAAATCTCTTCAGCAAAATGCCTAACAATCAAAATGTTATTATTAAGTATGATTTGATGGTCTACTAAAATGGTTTTTATGTCATTGTTTATGTATGTGTTTGTGTGCGTGGGTAAATCACAATGATTAGTTCAATCTGTTGACTTATTTGAAATTGACATTTCGCATATGTATCAATAACTGGCCATAACTTGTAAGGAACACATTTGATGTAGGACTTAATTATATGTTTTTCCCATTACGTATACTCTTTTTCCAACAGAGTATTATCAAGCTATTAACTCTTTAAATACGACACATACTGCTCAAACTTCGATGAGGCCGATCAGTGAAACAATAAATGCTTATCAAATTGTTGACGATGTAAAAAACCACGTGAACAAATCTACACCATCATCAAACATCACATTGAATAATCACAATGGTAATAATGAAATTTGTCGACTAAAAATGCATAGTTTGTAAGTTGTGAATTTATTTATTGTATATGGTATTTTCTCCATTTACTTTTTGCTTCTTGTTACTAGTAGTTCCCTCTGAATTGTTGGGTTGGGGGTCTATTGTATATATTAACTGTATTATGTGACAGTGGTTTCTTTCCCAAATAATTCCATTGCTACTTTTAACCACAAGCAAAATTTGTTTTATTTTGTAGACAATAAAGCAAACTTCATATTAGATTTGTAGTTCTTTAAGTTCATCTTACATATTCAAATTTAAGGATAACTTTTATTACAATGTAACTATGAGATGAGAAATTATTGGAAACCAAGAAGTTCTACATGTCTGATTTGCAATTTCAACTTTATCATCAAGTGACTGAAGTTAAAAATGTGGCTGAACCATTAAGTTTCAACCCAAAGTTTTGAAGTCAACACTTGTTACGAGACCTGAAGTTCATGTATTTTGAATCCCTATCAGAAGACTCACTTATTGACTTAAAATCTACAGGTATCAAACACGGTTGCCTACTTTGCCTTTTCTCTTTCTGCTGGTTGTAGACTCAATTATTGAGACCTCTACAACTCAGAAGCACAGAATACAGTGAACAACTTGAGTGGAGCTGGACAACTTGGACTTTGGAGATGACTTGACCCTCCTATCCCATCGACAGCAACAAATGCAGGTGAAGATATTCAGTATGACAGTAACTTCCACAACAGTAGGCTTCAACATTCACAAGGGAAAAGCAAGATCCTGAAATACAACACAGCGAGCACCAATCAAATTACATTTGGTGGTAAGGCTCTGGAAGAAGCGGAAGCCTTTACGTGCCTGAACAGCATATTCGATGAATATGGAGCATCTGATGCAGACATGAGGGTATGAATTACCAAAACAAGTGAACGTTCCTATAATTGAATATCTGTCACACAACACCAAAGTCATAATTTCAACAACAACAACAACAACAACAACGTCTAAACAGTTCTACTGTGCGGAGTTGGAGTGTGGAGAACTACTACCATCATTGCCAAAAAGGTGCAGGTGTCTATGCAAAATACTACAGATCCATTGGACAGAAACCGTTAGCAATAATCGACTGTGATAGGGAACAATTCAGATGTCTACTGAGAGGAAAATCAGGAAACAATGTTGGAGGTGGGTAGGATACACATTGAGGAAACCATCAAACTGCATCAAAGGGCAAGGCTCAATATGGAATCCTCGAAGGAAAAGGAAAAGAAGCATACCAGAGGACATATGATGCCGGAATTTGCAGGTAGATATCAAGAGAGTGAATAGCGCTTAGGGACAACCTGAAAGAGGAGCCTGAAAAAGAGTTGCTCCGAGGTTCTTAGTCGGAGGCCTATAAGTTCACAACGGTAACAGGCATGAGTAAGTAAGTTATAATACACGGACGTCGAGAGGAAGGGTATTATATGCTCAGTATGGTTTGGCGACGTGTCCCTCTATTACTTCCTTTGTTCATGTGTGCATAGATCTTGTGATTTATGAACCGTATCCTCTGTTTTCTGTTGTCATCTCTCCGTTGTACTTATAGTTAGTATGTGTGTTTTTATCATTGTGAATGGCTGATGCAATATTTAATTTTTCCATTTCTTATGAAACTTTTGACTTATGTTCTACACCTGGAAAATAGATGATTTGAAACAGAAAGAGTTGAATCATCTGATCTTCCGTGGATTGGGTGTGAATATGTCTCGTCCTTGTGTTTGTTTTAAACGCTTAGTTTGGTGCTTATTATTAAATTAATCCTTTCAGTGATGTTACACGATTTGATAAATTTACTAGAAGTTGGAAGTTGTTAATATTACATGTACCACTTTTTCACAGTACACATTTTGTGAAATACAATTGCAATCCTGTAAGTTTATCATAGTAAATAGGCATTGAAATACACGGAAACACCATATAAATACAACTTTATTTGAATTGCGAAGGATGTTTAATGTTAATTATCGGATACGACGTTTCAATGATTTTGACCTTGGTATGCTAGATTCAACACTTAATCGACTAATGTAATGTAAAGATAAGGTCGAATAACTCATATTATTTGCCTAATTTCACAAGAGTCATGTATTTACTAATTTTGAAATGGATTACTAAATGCTCTAATGGTGGAAAGTAACCGTGGACTATGAAATCAATTATTTATAGAGAGTAAAGTAGTTATATCCGTGATGACATGGTATGATGGTCGAGAAATATCATAAATTGATTGGAAGTGAAAATAATAGTCACTGGGGTTTGTGTGGACATTATTTTTGGTGATTTATTATGACAAAACTTCTAAGTGTCATAAATAAGAAAAATGAGGGATTTCAACTCAATGACATAGCTTTCAATTTAATGGAAATATCGAAACAGATAAATGAGAATAAGTACATACACACACAAACACCATTGGTCTAATGGTGACGATAGCTGTTCAATGTGTCCATACAACAGTTTTACATTTTATTGATAAGTTGGAATTATCTTTAAATCGTGGAAATGTTTGTAAAAAACATCGATGAGAAGGAGTACCCGTTAATCTGTTAGTGAAGAGGACAAAGAGAGGTCCCTATTATTGAACTTAATAGAACTTCACTTGTCGCAGCAAACCAGTTTGACAAAACGGAGGAGACGCTAGTAGTTTTTGGTAATCTCTCAGTAAGGTAGTCGTGTAAGCAATTTGAGAAAAAAATCATGGATACATACAGGTCTTAATTTGTAGTGTGTCCCACTTAATCCTCTCTCTTTTTACGATCGACATATCTGTCTACGTACTAATTCTTTCTTCCTGTACTATATCCTTATATGCAATCTTTCTTTGATATATTACCATCATTGAATTAACTACTTCTATGAATCCGGTGTTCATCTTGTTGTGCTAATGCGGTATGGCAACTTGGACCGATGCATATATTTGCCTGGTCCTACGTTATAGCTGACTGGCTGATTTCGAGCACACAATTGGTGAATTAGTGAACAATAGGATCTCTAGTGTTGTTAGAGGTAGGATAGGGACAAACGAAGACATGGGATCAGTCCATGAAGACGTTGACTATTGAACTGAGCCATGTGGGTAGGTACAGACTACTTGGTTAGCGTCCACGTGATTATTGTAACCGATGGTTAGAGACTTTGGGTGACATGGATCAAAATGGTTTGTGATGAAGCAGGCACATTCACTCTTCGTCTTCTCTTAAATTGTAACTTTCTAAATTACCTTATGAATTTTTTATCCCACTAGTCCATATTCTTTTCCCAAATCCTATCTAAAATGCTAAATCTTTTCAACCGCCGTCAATGCTGTTACTATATGTACTACTTTGGGATTTATCTTGACAATTTCGTCTCGCTGTGCTAATAGGGTGTAGCAACTTGGATCGATGTATACGTGTCAGGTTCGACATTACTTATGATTGACTGGTCGGTAAATTCGTCAACTTAGAAATATGTTTACACAAACAATAAAACTCAGTGTCCACAAACAAAAACACTATAAGAATGACAGTTAGAAGAATATTAAGCAATGAAGTCAACACCGCGGACACTTGAAATGACATGCAATTCAATTAATAAAAATTATTATTCCAACGACTACCTCGAACATATATGGGTACAAGTGATGTGTACAGATCGTAGTTAGTAGGGGTAAGGGACAAACAAAAGAAAAATACTTTATGACCACTGTTTCGCTCAGCAAACTTATCTCGACTTCTTCAGCATAATAATCAAACCGAAATTATCAAAGAATATATTATATTTAGCAGTCAAATCTATTCTGTGCTTATACAATCATATTGAGATGTCTTTAACGTGTAGGATAACACGAGTTAGTTATGTAGTACTCAATTTTCTTCACGATCAAATTAAACCTATGTTTTACACTTATTTGTTGAAATTGTTGGACCTTCCTCGATATTTTATCGCATTGATGTTCAGAGGTGATTCAAATTGCCTTTTATTGAAACAAAGACTTAAATCAGTCATCAGTAAAACGTATTGCACAGCAAAGCTCATTATCAAAGAAAGAACAAGGTGCATGCTTCATCCAAAACCTAAAAGACATGAAAACGATTGTGTCACATACCACTGTGTTTACCTATTTAAATGTGTGTGTGGTCACACATCGTGATCTCAACATCAGGGTGAGTGAACATGTATCCAAATGGCTGCAGAAACAAATACAATCAGGTGACCCAATAAGAGCAGAGGATAAACATCCATCATCCTCTATTGCTATACATATAATTGAAACAGGTCATAAGATTTATCTAAACTCGGCTTTTGTGGTTTTGTATAAAGGTGTAAAAAGGCGCATACTAAGATTTATTGAAGCCTTAACCATACGAAAATTCGAATCCCCTTTGTGTGTTCAAAAACAGTTTGTTCTTACCTTAAACCTACCCTGGTAATATTGACTTATTATCCAGAGTGATTAGGTTTTGAGTTGTGTTCACATTATTATTATTATTATCCTTATCTCCTCTTACCCCGTTTCTAGTCTACTTGACCTTTTATTTTTATATATAAATGCTGTTAACAAGTATATGTGTGATAAGGTTGTTCGAAATGTATTGCGCTAATTTATCACATAGTTCTGATAATCCTCGTCTTCTTATTTGTTTGATCTCCTTTAATGGTTATTAAGTCAGTTGCGTTAACTGGTCCTTCCTGGATTATTATTATTATTATTATTATTATTATTATTATTATTATTATTATTATTATTATTATTATTATTATTATTATTATTAATGGCTTTATTCAATATTATATTTTGGTGCAATATATAATTCTCAGCACAGGGCATTTCAACAAGTTACTTACGCAACAACAACAAAAACAGTAACAAATACAAAAAAATAAAATAAGGTTTTTAAAAAAAACCCGAATAACTGTACAACTTTTAAAATTAAGGACATGTTAAGAATGCAGGTTATTGACTAGGTTAACTCTAACAACCTGTTCGTCACAAAGTATATTTGCTAGGTAAGGTATTATAGAGCTTTTATACTTTTGTTTGCGTGCATGGATTTTAATGTAATTACGTCTCGTTCTACTAGAAGATATACAAGGAGAAAGATAAGAGTGAAGGGGATGGCTAGTATCTGATAAAATAACACCTGCCAGGAGTTTGCATGATTTTAAATGTCTATCCACAACCATATTAATTATGACCTCGTAAGATTCACCGCACATCTTGCTAACTGCCTTCAACACTCTCCGCAATACAGCAAAGTCTTTTCTCAAAAGCCCGGAAAAGAATAATGGAGAACAGTAAAGTATAATAGGTAATATGCAAGAATTGCAAATTGTAAGAGTAAATGACGAGTAATCCCAAGAGCATGCAATCTCTTTATGTAGTAGGTCAGACGGAAAACCTTCTTCGATAACAATAAAACGTGGGAGGACCAAGACAGATCAGAGGAAAAGGTGGCACCAAGATAATTGACCTTCGACACTGTGTTTATCAAAGAGTCTCCGATGGTACAAACATTATGGAATCTCAAAATGGTGTTTAGATTCTGTTCATGTCTCGTGCTAAAGTTAACAGCATGGTATTTAGACGGATTAGGTATGAGACCATTACCAATAAACCAATAATCAGTACGAGACAAAAACTCATTCATTTCTATGGGATGTTAAGAGGAAGAGATAGGCATACATACAGTGGGATCATCCGCATATTTCACAAAAGTGTTTTCTGTGAAAGATGGCAGATCATGCAGAAAAAAAGAGAAAAGAAGAGGTGACAGAGCAGCTCCTTGTGGTACACCTTCATGAGACAGTAGAGACTCTGAACACTTTCCTCCAAACACAATGTACTGTTTCCTTCCAGAGAGGTAGGAACATAGCCAGTTGGTTATCCAGCTGTCAGTGTTGACGCTGATTAACTTGTTAAGTAAACGTTGTCTTGGTATATAATCAAAAGCTGAAGTATAGTCCAGAAAAGCACATCAAACATACTTCTTACCCTTTTCTAAGTTGAACACTATGATGTGATGCAGAACAGCAACAGCATCTAAAGTGCTTCTTCTGCGTCTGTAAGCAAACTGATATGGGTCAATATGCTCTTTTATCTCAGGTTGAAGTGGAAGTTTTAATAATTTTTCCATTGTTTTGAGGAAGGGTGAAATTATTGAAATAGTGTAGTGAACAAGAACACGGGTGGGGACAATCGATTGTATTTATCACAAAGATTACAGACTATCTCAATAAAATGTGAATACCATAAAGTCAATCGTTAATTTGCAAAATATCATTCCATCATATCAAACTGTACTGTTCCCGTTGCAAACACTAATCCATTGTCTTCCATTCCATTGTACATGCGTTTTCTTATAATTCCATTGTGCTCTTGCTCTTCCTTTCTTGATCTTCGCCATCTTCTGCTGCCGGACATTACGTTCTTTTAACGCACGTTATATACTACTTATATTGATATAAGTAGCTCACACCACAATAGGTCTACATTTTACATTCTTATCACCAGTTGCTTTCTTGTGTACAGGAATTATCTTCATTTTTCTCCACATTTTCGGTATGAGATTAGATTAGAAGGATCTGTTAAAGATAGTTGTGAACGGATAACATAGAACGTCAGCACACTTTTTAAAAAGGATGTTTGGGATACCATCAGGTCCTAAACATCGTCAACATTCCTAGCTAAAAATGTATAGGATTATCTGTTTATTATACTTCTCAAAAATTTTGGATATCATCTACTTGTTTTTCACTGGGTTTTATCTCTCTAACGATTTGGTGTTCATCAATTTTAATGAATGTAATCAGGCCTCTTGTAACTATCTGTCCGCTATTACCGTATGCTTCTACAAATGAACCGGAATATTTTCGTCATCCAAAAAATCTCCAGTCATTGGAACTATCCACGTACGTTTATATTCAGATAAATATTTAAACGAAATATTGCATGCATCTATACAGTATTCGGAGAATACTGTTAAATTCCATGTATTCTGAGATCTGCTTTATTACCTTCCGATGTTTGTTGCATCTACTTTTTTCAAATTTAACTACCATCATTTTTGCATGCATTTACTATTTTATACATCACATTTTTTCACAATAGTTGTCATTTAAGTGAGATTAATTCTTCAAATGCATGTTAACATAGTTTTGTAAGTTAGTTACTGTTCGTAACTTACTTACGCCCGTTACTCCCAATGTAGCGTAGGCCACCGACCAGCATTCTCCAACTCACTCTGTCCTGGGCCTTCTTTTCTAGTTCCATCCAATTCTTGTTCATTTTTTTCATGTCTATTTCCATTTCTCGGCGTAATGTGTTCTTTGGTCTTCCTCTTTTCCTTTGGCCTTGAGGATTCCATGTGAGGGCTTGTCTTGTGACGCAATTGGGTGCTTTCCTCAACGTGTGTCCTATCCACTTCCAGCGCTTCTTCCTGATTTCTTCCTCCACTGGGATCTGGTTTGTTCTCTCTCACAGTACGTTGTTGCTGATAGTGTCCGGCCAACGGATCCGAAGTATTTTGCGTAGACAACTGTTAATAAACACCTGTATTTTCTGCATGATGGCTTTCGTAGTTCTCCAAATAATAAAACTACTAGATCAATGCTTGTACTAGTGAAGGCGAAATCAATGTGTATAACTTTTATCTGAAACGCCTAGATATTTCGTTACAATAGGCCATTGAAACATGAAATGATAATATGAAAAAACAAGAATATTGTCATATAATCGATAAATAAGTGAACCAAAATAATATTTATTATATGATATAATTCAATTAGGAAAGGAAACCAATATGAATTTCGTTCAATTAAAAATGTTCATTATAACTTTTGTAAAAAACATCTTAGAAAGCTAGTACAAGATTGATAGCGTTTACTATTTGGGTGGATATTCGATAACATTTCCAGTTATTAGATTGCATAATCTCTTAATCATTAACTACTTAGGCGTGATGAATCAGAAGGTATAATAGTCTTATCTTTCATTACATAACTCCTCATATCCTAAACCGATCACTTCTACCCTTTTTTCATCTACTTCCGTAGTCAACAACACTACACACTGTAACGACTTAAAACCACCAGCCATATCCGACATACTATGGAATTATTAACCTGCGTTATGCCAATATCGTCTATCATTATAATGACCTAGTTAAATGAAGTTTGATTCGATCACTCACGTACATTCATTTACACTACATACTTACTATATGTCAAGTATCTATTCAAACAAAATAGTTTTATGTTCACATAAAATATTTATTGATTTATGTACATTCATTCTACTTTTCCAGACAAACATCGAATACTGGATTGCGTTGATTATGTTTGATAATTAATGGATGGTCAACGTTTTTAGCCTAAAAGCTTGGTATGTGTTGGTCTTTAGGAACTTATGCGTAGTAATAAACATACCAAGTAATCGAACTGATCTAATGAAAAATCAACCATTAAACCAAGAAACACAAAGCTTACTGAATTTCCGTGATTCATGTGAATAATAGGATGTACGAGTTTAAAGAAGAAAATAACAATAAAACAACAAAAGTTATTAGTTAGCAATAATGTTTATACACATGATAAAAATGTAGTCCAGTGAATTAGTTAACCGAGGATATTTCAACAGCATATAATCTTTCACTATATTAACTGCGATGTGTATATACTTCAAAGAAAAGCAATTAGTACATTTGTTTTTGTAATGTCATTATAAAACTATTAAGAATGAATGAATAACAGTCATAGTGTTACTTGTCCACCAATTATCAATTTATTTATTTGAATTTCAGACACATTATTTGTGTCAGAGCTAGTGATACTTACTACTCGACCTTTCAATTGTAATAATCGAGGTTGTGTTACGAACCTACATACTTTTAGTTGAAGCGTTAGTGCTTTAATCACTAAACCCCTACCATTTACAATCTTGTATATCCAGCTTCAAGTCATACATTACGTGCTTATTCGTGTGCATGATACTATTTAATTGCAAAACCCGAAATAAGTAGAGAAAGATCTAGCTGCTTAAATTAATTGGTTTTAATTATTAAGGTCCATCGTTTTGTATGTAAGAAACAAGTGGTGGTGTTCATCAATTTGAAGTTTGAGTAATATTGAGATGAGTTAAAGTTCCAAAAACACCGACTAATTTGAATGATGTGATAAGTATCAGTATTAGGAGTAATAATAGTAGTACGATTCTCTTCACAGTTATCTTTCACTATTGGTTTCTCTATTTTGCCAACCTCTTAGACCGAAGGGTAATTGTATTAACTATAATTTAGTATATATATACACGTTATAAACGATTATTTCTGAATTATAAAGTGTCATTCTTTAAGATTGTGTAGCCTAATAATTTGTCGTACATTTTTGGACCATAACGATGACAACCAAGATATTTTTTGTATTCATGTATAGACCAACTAGTATAAGCATACCTGATGATCTTCTTAAGAAGTCAAATTATCCTCAACAACAACAGTCTTCTTCAACTGTAACACTACCGAAAATGCCAACACCATGCTCCTTCTCTACGGTCAGTACTCTCTCTACATATCCGGGTAACAATTCAATTGGAAGACGTGGTCGAAACTTTCAACCTTCACATGTTACATCGGGTCGTTCTTCCCACAGTGCAGATACATCACCGACTCGATTATCACATCCTCATGAAGATAGTCAAGTGTTTTATAAGACATCAATAACTGACAGTAGTAAACAGGTAAATTATTGTTGTAAATAATCTTCAGTTTTGAAAATTTATTACTCACTGCGTATTGAAGTTATGACTACTTTTCTTAACGTTTAAGATTTTTCTGTACTAATGACTAAGAAGCAAATAGAGCAATCCCTATCTTAAACTTTTAAAGCTAAATCATTACTCCCAGTGAACAGACTTAAAGATAATTAAATTTTCCTCATAAGTCTAGATTTATTCATTGAATGTTTCGAAACATCAAAGCGTGATGGAGTTTACACATGTTAAAAAGGGCTAGAAGAGGTTTGAACATAACATGAATGATTCATATAGAGACGTTAGTTAATTACGAATGTCAAGTTTGAAAATCATGGTGGTTCGTAATGTGTTTTTGTAAGTGAATATGTATTAACATAATCAGTATGTTTGTCTGCACTTTATCCACTGTTGTGAAATGCTCTGAGAACTCAACCCTTAACCATTAGGTCACAGGTTTAAACCCCACTCCAGTTACTTTGGCTTAAACAGAGGTTTAATACCATGAATTGGACTTTATGAAAATGAAATATGGCTTTAAGTTGAAAGTATGAACATGTGTTAGAGTGGCATTTTTGCTTCAAAACACTTTATGTATGTTTTTAAATATGTGTGTATATTATTTTAATTCACTTCATACGGGTAACTTTGTATTACATTATCGTAATCTAGCAATACCGTGATAAATGGTTTGTTCTTCGTTCTTGTCTTATTTTTTAATGTTCCAACCATCTAGTCATCCATTTCCCAGCCACGTTGGTCACATTCACTCAAAGATCCTACCACCACCGATAATCGAAGTAATAATAGCAATGATTTATGTCGACCGTACGAACAACATCCATCCAATAACACATTCAGGAGTAGTGCAAAAACAGCCAATCATAATTACTTCCCACCAACACCAACACTGCAAAGATCGTCATCACAGCCGGATTTAATAATGCTGGACAAATCATTAATATCTGGTAGTAATGTTGCTGCTACAGTCAGTGACTATATTACCGTTCTTCACCAAAATCAACATAATTTAACTGATAGTGTCAAATATTCAGGCTTAAATTCCGGTAGTAATAATATTACTCATACGGACCATTTGTCAGTGATACGTGTATGGCGATCAAGTGATAATGGAAAAGATCATTCTAGTAAGCTGATTATATTACCAAGTAGACACACTAATGCATACGAAGCGACACGTTTATGCATGGAGGAATTCAGTATACCGGTGGAGGATCAGCATTCTTATCGCTTATACCATGTATGTTCAATGTTTATTTTTCTTTCATAGTGATTAATAATAATAATAATCATAAATCTTCATCACATTATTTGTTATTGCGTAGACGTTTGTTATGTTATTGAGGTCAGAAAAAACCACTCACGCAAAATGAATAAAGAATTTATAGCTATCAAACGATTAAAAATCCGAAGACAACAATCGCTCTGTAAAACAAATATTTATTATTTCAGTAAAATATGTACATTGATATGCAAAATACTTAGATCATCATAAACTTAATAAGAAATCATACTGAAATTTAAAATTTCTTTCCAGTAGATAACTTACGCTTACCAACTAATTATAAATGAACATTTAACTAAGAGATTTAATAATTCATTGAAAATTCGTTGAGGTATGCAGATTAATAAACAAATGTTCACAATTAATATTCCCGACAATTGCTGCTACAATTAATACTGAATGAATTTTAAAATGTTACGAAGTATGTACAAATTAGGTAACAATATATTGTTTTTGTTGTGATGCATACAATAATTTATCATTGAATTAGTTATTTACCTATTTGTCACACACTTTACTCTCCTCTTTCATCCAACTTGTCGTAATCAATTCTAAACAGGTATCTGCAACTCGCTGTTGCTCAAATAAACAGTCAGTCGGCAGTCAGCCACAATGTTGGACCAAGCACATAAATGCATCAGTTCAAGTTGCCACACCTCATTAGCACAGCAAGACAAACACCGGTTTCACATAAGCAGTTATCTCAATAGTGGTAATATATAAAAGAAAGATTGCATATTAGGATATAGTACAGGAAGAAAGATTTCGTACGCAGAAAGAAAGATATGAAGCGATTTTAATCTCTTAGTTTAAGGGAAGACAGAGAATGTATACACCGACGCCATTGTGATCAATTCTGAGGCATGTCACCAAGAGTCTCCAACCATTTGGTTACGATAGTCACGCGGACCCCAACCAAGTAGTCTGCATCTACCAACATGGCTAAGACTAGAAGTTCGTGAAGTCAAGCACTTATGCCACGTTTTGGTTTGGCCGCCCCTAACTTTCTTCCAACCATCCCGAACACCGGTTAGCATTGCACGTCGTGGTAATCGGTGTTCAGGCATACGTAACACGTGGCTCAACCATCTCAGTCGGTGAAGATTCATAACCTCATCAACTGATTTACCATCATTTCCTAATACCCTGCGTCTAACCTCACTATTACTTACGTGATGATCCCAGCAGATGTGGGCAATATTTCTAAGGCATCTGTTATCAAATATTAGTAACTTACAAGTATTTTCTACTCTTAATGGCCACGTTTCTCAGCTGTAAAGTCAACTTAATCGCTGAAAATAGACCACCATACCTAATGACCTCTGGAGCCAATCCATCTGGACCAGCTGCTCTTACTCTATTTTCAGATTAGCTACAGACTTTTGAACTTCAGCTGGAGTCGGGAGACCTACTTCAGTGTTCCATTCACTCTGTCTGGGAATGGTGGGTATTTGGAGGGTAGCTGAAGGCCAGCAGAGTTACTCCTTAAAATGTTCCACCCATCGTTCTAAACGTCTGGACTGGGAGCAGATAAGAGTGTCGTTTTTTTCCGACATAGTCTCACTTACACTTGACTTTTTAGTTCCTGTTTCTTTTATGAATCTGAAGAGCTGTCTTGCGTTACCTACATCCGCCACCGCCTTTTCCATCTCTTTTGATTTTGTTGCCCACCACTGCTTACGGTCGTTCGTTGGACTTTTGTTTAGCCTAGATCTGATTTGCTTTCGCTCTTCATCATTTTCAGAGCCTGATGGGGAGAGTTTACGAGAATCCATCATTGCAACAGACCTAGAAGAAATCCATTGGTTTAAATCATAAACAGATATCACTGCTGTTTCCACAGTTGTTTGTATATCTTTCCAAGTAACATCTGGGTCAGTATCGTTTCCAGGACTACCGAAATGTGACCTCAGTGCTTTCTGGAGTCTGCTTTCGGCTTTCTCATCACTCAATTCAATTCCAAAGGGTTTTCTTAGTGAGGCTTTCCTGCGTCCAGTTAGGCGCAAGCAAATGCATGCTCGTATTAGAGCATGATCGCAGTCCAAACAGGCATTCCAGAACAAGTGACAATCTTCTAATGACACTCCCCAACGATGGCTGATGGCAATGTGGTCTATTTGAGTTCATCGTTGGTTTGGTGCATGGGGTCTCCATGTTAGACGATGTCTCTCCTTATGCTTAAAATTTGTGTTTGCCAAAAATAAACGATTGTCTGAGCACAGTTGCAGCAGACGATCACCATTTTCTGTTCACTGAGCCGGAATACTAAAATATCCACCAAAATGTCTTTCTGCTTGGTTTAAGCTACTTACTTGGGTATTAAAGTCACCCCCTACGAGTACTATGTCCGAACGTTTAGCTTTCTGAAGAAGTTCAGAAAGCTTTCTGTAAAATTCATCTTTCACATCATCTGAGCTGCAGTCAGTGGGAGCGTAGGCAGAAACGACGAAAAGGCAACGACCTGTGTCCCTATCCTTCCGAGTTCTTACGGAGCCGTTTAGCCGAACAGTATATAGACGACTGTTGACGGGGATCCACTCTGGCAGTGCTTATTCCGCCCTCATGCTTAGTGCTATGCCTACACCTTTCAGTTCACGAGGACTAGACATCAGGTCGGCAGATACATGGAGGATGTGTCTCGTCCACTTTCGGTTTTTTCCCCCTTAAACATACACTTGCTGTTAATATTTATGGAAAAATCAATTAGGAAACTAAGAAACTTTTAAAGTCTATTGCGCGTTACAAAACGTCTTTCATCTAATTTCCATTAGTCAGTCAATCAGAGGTCACTTTGTTCATGATGCGTCATTACAATAGATCAAGTTACCGTACTCCATTAGAATGGCGAGATTAAAATGTCAGGCCAAATCCCAGAATAACAGAAATGGTAACATTATCAATGGTGATTGAAAATGTTAAGCATCGGAGATGTGATTCAAGTAAATTTAAATTATTGAAATGGAAACACAAGAAAAGTTATGAGGAATTTACGTACTTACGCCTGTTACTCTTAATGGAGCATAGGCCGCCGACCAGCATTCTCCAACCCACTCTGTCCTGGAACTGTTTTTCTAGTTCCATCCAATTCTTGTTCATTTTTTTCATGTCTATTTCCATTTCTCGGCGTAATGTGTTCTTTGGTCTTCCTCTTTTCCTTTGGCCTTGAGGATTCCATGTGAGGGCTTGTCTTGTGACGCAATTGGGTGCTTTCCTCAACGTGTGTCCTATCCACTTCCAGCGCTTCTTCCTGATTTCTTCCTCCGCTGGGATCTGGATTGTTCTCTCCCACAGTAGGTTGTTGCTGATAGTGTCCGGCCAACGGATCCGAAGTATTTTGCGTAGACAACTGTTAATAAACACCTGTATTTTCTGCATGATGGCTTTCGTAGTTCTCCAGGTTTCTGCCCCATACAGTAGAACTGTCTTGACATTTGAATTGAAAGTCCTGACCTTGGTGTTGGTTGACAGTTGCTTTGAGTTCCAGATGTTCTTCAGTTGTAAATATGCTGCTCTTGCTTTGCCGATCCGCGCCTTCACATCTGCATCAGATCCACCCTGTTCATCAATGATGCTGCCCTAATATGTAAAGGTTTTTACATTTTCCAAATCTTCTCCGTCAATTGTGATTGGAATGGTGCATGCCGTGTTGTATCGGAGAACCTTGCTTTTCCCTTTGTGTATATTGAGACCTACTGCTGCTGAGTCTGCTGCCTTACTGTTTGTCTTCTTATGAGGAATTTAGAAGCTCATAATTTGGAGGAAGACAAAGAATAGATACACCTGCGCCATTGCAGATGATTTCGAGTCATGTCACTGAAAGTCTCTAACCGTTGGTTACGTTAATCATGCAGACGCCAACCAAGTAGTCTACTCTCGATTGACGTGGTTCAGTCCAGTCGTCGATAACTTCATGGACTGGTGTCATGTTTTGGTCTGGCCGCCTCTAGCTTTCTTCCAGCTTAGTTCTACACAGACAACATCTCTCATCGAGGTAGGCGGTGGTTGATGAAGATTTACTACTTCATCAGTCGGTTTTCCATTCTTACCTAGTACCCTATTCCTGACCCAGGCACCGCTTACTCTGTGTGCCAAACATACACGAGCGATGCTTCGAAGACACTGACGATTGAATACCAGTAGTAACTTACAAATATTCTTTACTTTTAGTAGCCAGGTTTCACAGTCATAAGTTAGAAGTCCACTGAACTTTTAGAATTTGTGCCAAGACTTTGTCGGATACCAACCTGTCAGGATTGATTAGGATGTAAAAATAATCGGAGGTCGATGTGCTGAACTACTTCACTCCCTATTCTTAGTTCAGGCGTCAACACAGACCAGTCCTATAGTAACGTTTTGCATTTCGGTTGAGAGGACCGCATCCAGAACATGCTTGGATTGTTGCTTAAAGTGGCCAGCGTCTTCACCAAAAAGAACTGTGTATTTGCGTATTCCAAGTCAACAAGTGAATCTCCTGGTAGAAAATCAACCTCTGGAAAGTTAGACGATGAAAGTGCTATCTCTAAAAGCATGTCTATGACAAAGCTAAATAAGAATGGGAAAAGCGGACAACCCTGAAGAACACTCTAAGTAATCGATTCTGATGAAAGTTGTCTATAAGTTTTGATTCGTCCATTAGTGTTCGAGTGGTGAGCCTGTACAGGGTTAATACACTCCTTTGATATGCATTTTGATGACAGACACTGCCGTCGAACCTTACGACCAACAGAGCCGGACGCTGCCTTGATGTCAAGGAATACAACTATAGTCGGACCTCAAAAATATGTCTACGTTCTGGAACCTGCCGAATGGTGAATATTTGGTCTATGCATCCACGTGCAGGTATGAAACCAGTCTGATTTTCTCGGGTTCTCTCTTCACGAGCTCTACCTAATATTTGTAACACTTTGGTAGAAAAACTGATTGCCCTGTGATTGTCACAAAAGGACCTTGGTTCTTTCTTATTGTGTGGGTCGAACAGCGATCTAGACCAATCGATTGGTATCAGCTAAGATTTCAGCTATTTTAACTGCTAAAGCTGCGGCACATTCTTTGAAGGTATTTGGGCTAATCCATCCATTTAAGTTCAGGGATAACTCTCTTCCAGTATGATTGAACATCTCCAGATGCAAAGTTTCACTAAACCTTTGGAAATCCATCCAGTTATCATCACGAACGTAAAGCCTGTATCGTTCCTATATTTTATATAGTAGCCAAACCAATAATTGCAGTAGCAACCTAGTGGTGATAGTAATCTTATCAAAGTTAAATTGACTAAACATATAGTATATGGTTCGGAAAAATGGGCTGAATCATGTGAATAAAAATATGGATTCATGTTTTAACCTAAACGTTTTGGGAGGATAAATGAGCGAATCCGACTGTAACGCTGTAACTTATTCTGGTCGATTTCAGTGTATTGAGTTCGAGTACCTTGAAGTTTTTGACTCTACAGGCTGTACCTGTGAGTCCGGTTTGCGCGAACATGCAATGGTTTTACAGACTTATAGCAATTTTTAGTTTGGTCAACCCCAAAGGACAGTTGCAAGTTCAGGACGACAAAGCTATCACATGATATTATTAGCAGTAATTTTGAATCAGGTGGGTGAGGAACAGGTACTGACATGGACATTTTCAGTAAAGAACTACTTTCACAATCTATCTATAGGTTATTCATCGCTAACCACATAATTATCACTGACCATTTTTGGATCACGTTGGCACTATACCACGTATTGACTGTAGTTGGAGATATAAACCAACAAATTCCGGGTCACTGATATTGTAGTGGACGAGAACACAAGTGGGGACAACCAAAGGTATTTTAATACAACAATATTTAGAAAGTGCTCCCACCGCGAAACCCGGGATCCCATGGTTTGATTCTTGTTCGAATGGCCAGTGGGATTGCCGATGAATTCTAAATCAGAACGAAACAGCTGCCCAGTCCTTCTTGGTTTCTGAATGGTTTTGTAGCTTATATCAACCCATATTTAGAAAAGTATCCCTTCATATTGAACTTTTCTTCACAATCCATTCAACACAAAAAACAAGTTACGTAGGTGTTATTTCTACCACCTTCATTATTCACACTAACACTTATTCCACTCATTGTAAGCTGAAAATAACAAATTTTGGATAAATAAAGTGTATAAATTCGTTGCAATTTCAGATGAGTATAAAAATGTCAAACAATTTTTGCGATTATAATTGTACTTTTTAGAAAGAAATCAGAATCCTGAAGTCTTTTATGTTGTAGAGGATCATTCAATGTTACATTTCATTTGTATGTATTTTCTTTGGTAGTTGGTTGTATTGTACAAAATTTTAGACTAGAATTTGATTTTGAGCTATCTACATCCTATTTTTGAAATAGATAAGATAATTTATGATCATCAGTGTTCATATGGCAACTTACCTGTTTTTATGGTATGAAGCACAAAGTTTGTTAATCAAAATCTGTCTCATTCTTAGCGTTTCACAACAGCTTCCAGCGTAGCATATCTATTGACAATGTTGACTAGTTTTTTTATTTTTTATTTTGCAATGTATGGTAGACTCAACTTCATGTTCTGCTTTTAATATCATTTATACGCTCTAATTAATCATTCATAAACCTTTACTCTCAAACACATTTCATATTCTTTGGAGAAGAAGAAACGTTCGTTATGCTTAATGTTGAAACTAAAGTTTTGTATAGAAATGAGATCTTTCTTTTTAAATTTGATTTTGTTTATCATGCCTTTAATTTAATCATATTTCGCTGTCACACGGTGTTGATACAAATGTTTTAACTCCCTGTACTACTAAATATTATTCTGATTGTGGTTTTTACTGCCTCAAGTACACTTGATTATCATTTATTTTTTATGTTATTCATTTTAATACGTTTGATTAATTTTCGCTCATGATTATCCTATTCACCTTGATTATCAAGTATTTCATTCGATTAACTATCTTCCATCTTCTTCGTAATTGATTACATCTTAACAACCATACAGATTATTCTGTTTCATAATAGTGATCATATTATACAATTTCACAAATTTGAAAGTGAACTCGTTAAAAATAAGTTCTCTGGTTGCACTGATTGTTTTTAAGTATAATTAATAAGTTTTTGACAGCTTGAAAGTAGATGACATTATGGTGCTATGTCATCCTAGTTTAAATCTCGATTGTGCACATCCAATTTCAATCCTTTTGTGCTCTATTGCAATCTAAAATGAAACAGCTATTCAACACATAATAGTATATAAATGACTCATGAAATGATTTTAGTTTATAGTAGGCACTAGTTCCGAAATAAATAATCTTTGCAAACTCACTCCCCTCCATACCGTCCAACCTACTACATGGTTGTTTTCTTATCTTGTTAAGGTGACTGTTGAATCTGGGCCAATTGTGAAACAAAGTCGCTTGTCTAATGTACTGGATGATTTATCTGGACGTTTAACTTTGAATTCAAGATATTACTTAAAAAGTTTGCATAATCATGATCCGCTTATTGCGGATGATGTTGCAAAATCAATTCTAGCTGAAAGTCGTGTTACGTTTACACAGGTAATCTTTTTCATCTCTTATTAATGATATAAGCTTTTAAATAATGCAACAAAGTAATCTTTCGGATTTGTCGTAGGAAAACGTGGATACCATGCACTATGAAAATATTTTCATTGCGGAGAATATCCTTAGTATTTCGTATTACCATAAGACGATAAGTGCAATTCACAGTCACTTGAAGCTTTGCTCCACGTATATACCTTCAGTTTAATTGCATAGCCTATTCATTACATTTATATTCATTGAAACTTCTTTTTTGTAGACTTCACAGTTTAGGGAAACTCTCGCCACAAACTAATACGAGATTGTTAAAAAAAATTTCCATTTTCTTGAAACAAATAATATTTTCAATAAATTTTATTCAAGGATTGTCAATTATAAGTTAAAATTAATAATCGGTAGTGTAGCCAATCTTATAGAGAATGCAACTTTAATAGTAGAATTTTCTAATTTTGAACTATTTGAAAATCTTGAAATGATGATCGTATCTTCACTAGTGACTAACGTCTAGAATTAATTCTACGATTTCTGATGAGTTGTTATTAATAGAGTTCACCAACGTCGGATCTGAGAGACAAATATCCGTCTGGAGAAATGAAAGATGGTCGCTTATTATCATGAATTGACTGCGGTCAGAAATATATCACCATTGGATCCCGACTCAGTAATCTGATAGTTTGATCACCTGTGGTTTTCGCGGATATCCACCGCTCAGGAGTCCCATATCATGGCGAAACAACTGTTCCATGCTTTTCGGTTTTAAGTGGTCGTCTAGCTAATATCGTCCTGTGATGTAAACTAGGAAAATGTTGAAATAGTCAACGTTCATTATTCAATTTAATTAGATTTAACGTCAAATAGAATTGGGAGGACAATAATCATGGAAATAAATGTCAGACAATTTAGAATAAGAGAAATAATTATATAATTAAAAAGATTAAATGTTTGACTAGGTTATACGTAATGCATGCAGTTATACTGACTAATTAAGATACAATAAGTGTGAGGCGAGTGCTAAATAAATTTCTCGAATGTGTCAGGGTAAAGTAATTGATTAAGCCAGATTAATTTAGACTGCGAAAATATAAGACAAAACCGAATTTATCGGGTAATTTTATGATCAAGTGACTTACGTTACTGAATCGGCCAGTTTATGAATAAACCTTATGACTTACCTAAAACATAGAGACCAGATGTTCAATTAAGTTCGACTTCAAACGTGCCGAATTCGCCTTACTTTAACGAAATAAGCAGATTGGGGTCACTCAACGGATATAATATTTCAAGTGTATGACACGTGATATTCAAAGCATCCTGACTTTGCGCCTTGAACATTAAATGTCAGTGACTTTGAAGTGTTATTCCTAAAGCCAACTGCTAATTACTTGAACATTAGACATTTAATCGCATAATTATACAACCTTTAAATATAGAAAAATCATCAAATAAATTCCAAAATATACGCATTTTTGATTTTTTTCGATCACGAAAAATTGTGAATGTAAAAAAATTACTTCTAAATCTTCCCTAAAAACTGACTGGATACAACCTTTTTTAGCATAGTAGACGTATGTATAAATCTGTTAAATCCTTGCTTGACAAGGGTGTGCTCTGCTGAGTTGTTCCGCGCTAGTTTGAAATACCTGTTCAATTCAGCCTAATTCTCAATGGGTACTCCAATTGTGTTAAATTTATGATAAATACTACCTCCACAAAACCCATCATTCCGATAATACTCAGTTTATTTGTCACTCCTAATATCTGATGATCTGATCACTTGTGATCTTTTTATTGAATAATTGCTTTTAGCTTCCACCGAATGAATTAGCTGCTCAGTTAACTATTGATGATTATGAAATATTTCGATCTGTTCAATCCACTGAATATATTGATGAGATATTTGGACTCAGTAATCCATATGTTGATAATATCTCTTCATGTGTGATTGGCAATAATAGTAACACTAGTAATACTGGATATGCAACAGGTCATGAAAATTTGGATCGATTCACCGATCTTGTCAACCGTGAAGCGTATTGGGCTCCCACTGAAATTTGCAATGAAACTAACTTGAATCGACGTGTTGATTTGTTGAAACGTTTTATCAAGGTATTTTATTTTTGCTTATGACTATATTTTACTTTTAATCGAAAATTTTGAAGATGGAGTATTTCGAGTTGACCTCTTGACTTTCAAACTATTTATGGGTATTAAATTTTCATTCTTTATATAGACTATAAGATGTGAAAAATATCTTTTATGTGGACATCAAATAATTAGTCAGTTTATTTTGTTACTATCAAGTTACTGTGTCTTTTTCACTTGAAAAAATCGAGGTTGCAATCTCAATCATTTCCGTGATATTTTTATAACTATTATACTTTGAGTGGTTAAAAAACTAGTAATAATGGAGCGAGTAACTGTTAATTGTGTATGTAATGCGTGCATTTTTCAGTAGTTTTATTGGCCACGTTATCATTATATCTAAAGTGTTTCCTTTGTTACTAAAAATTAGTCTTTTTATTAAATAGGTCCCATCTATTTTAATTTGAAAATCGGTCGGAATCATTCGCCAATCTGTCTTCATTTAAATAAGGCATAGCGTGAAGAAAAAATGGTGTCGCTTGTTTTGAGTTCTGACAATACGTTGTTAGACTAACAAATAAACATCAGGACAAAACACCTAAAAGTTTAATTCAATCATTTCATCATGTGTTTTTCTCTCAACCACATTGTTTTGAGTAGTAGATCAAATTTCGCTTTCTGTTCTTTACATCTCCCTTGTACGGCCAGATAAAATCATTGACCACTCATTACCCTCCAATAAGGGTGATTTAATAATATGATGAACTTCTGTAACAGTTTAGTGGCTAAGTATTCAGCAACAAATTACGCAATATCAAACTGCATAAATATCCTGGTATCTATCTGTTTTCAAAATATTCTACGATCAGTTGAATACATCTGTTACCTCCTTTTACGGAGGTAAACTGCTCGATTTCTAAATCACTTGGACTGTTCCTTTTTTATAACATTCATGAGTTCCCGTATGACTGGATGAGCAAAATCAGTGAATTAGCTAGGACCTCTATCTCTTCCCTCTGTCGAGTTGTTCGTTTTAAAAAGGCGTTCCTAAAAAGAACAGAACATTCCAGATTACAGTTTTAAAAATTAGATTGCTACAGCCTTTCAGACCAGGTTTCTTCAAAACAATTTGTTAGTACATTGATTTCTTGATTCTCTACGTGGGATAATGACTCCATCAGACCGTCAAATGAAGTTATTTCTATAGCCGGCCCGAAAGCTAAATCTACCATCTAATGGATCTGCTAAACCGAATTCGCGTATCATCTAACGCCTTTGAAGGTTTGTTGATTACCGTTACTTTACTTACTTTCGCCTGTTACTCCTAATGGAGCATAGGCCGCCGACCAGCATTCTCCAACCCACTCTGTCCTGGAACTGTTTTTCTAGTTCCATCCAATTCTTGTTCATTTTTCTAATGTCTGTCTCCATTGCCCGGCGTAATGTGTTCTTTGGTCTTGAGGATTCCATGTGAAAGCTTGTCTTACGATGCAGTCGGGTGCTTTCCTCAATGTGTTTCCTATCCACTTTCAGCACTTCTTCCTCCGCTAGAATCTACTTTGTTCTCTCCAACAGTAGGTTGTTGCTGATAGTGTCCGGCCAACGGATCCGAAGTATTTTGCGTAGACAACTGTTAATAAACACCTGTATTTTCTGCATGATGGCTTTCGTAGTTCTCCAGGTTTCTGCCCCATACAGTAGAACTGTCTTGACATTTGAATTGAAAGTCCTGACCTTGGTGTTGGTTGACAGTTGCTTTGAGTTCCAGATGTTCTTCAGTTGTAAATATGCTGCTCTTGCTTTGCCGATCCGCGCCTTCACATCTGCATCAGATCCACCCTGTTCATCAATGATGCTGCCCTAATATGTAAAAGTTTTTACATTTTCCAAATCTTCTCCGTCAATTGTGATTGGAATGGTGCATGCCGTGTTGTATCGGAGAACCTTGCTTTTCCCTTTGTGTATATTGAGACCTACTGCTACTACACTGGTCGTTTTCTTCTGCATTTTTGTTGCGTTTGGGATAGAAGGGCTAGATCATCTGCGAAGTCTAGATCGTCTAACTGCATCCTAGAAGTCCACTGTATCCCGTGTTTCTCTTCAGATGTTGCCGTCTTCATGATCCAGTCGATCACCTGGAGAAAGAGGAAGGATGAGAGTAAGCAACCTTGCCTGACACCGGTCTTTACTTCGAACGACTTTGTCAATTGTCTTCCATGCACTATTTTGCAGTTTAATACATCATAGGAATTCCGTATGATATTGACTATCTTCTCAGGTACGCCGTAGTGTCGAAGAAGCTTCCGTAGTTTTGCTCTGTCCACGCTATCAAATGCCTTTTCGTAGTCAATGAAGTAATGTATAGCGACGAATCCCATTCAATTGATTGTTCGACAATGATCCGTAGATTTGCGATTTGATCTGTACACGATCGATCCTTACGGAATCCTGCCTGTTGGTCACGAAGTTGGGCGTTTACGCAGTCCTTCATGCTGTTTAACAAAACCCTGTTGAAGACTTTTTTCGGTATTGAGAGAAGAGTGATGCCCCTGTAGTTATCACAGTTGCTGAGATCGCCTTTCTAAGGTATTTTGACCAGAAGTCCTTCTTTCCAGTCTCTTAATACTTGTTCTTCATCCCAAATCTTGCTGAAGAGAATGTGGAGTATCCTTGCAGTTACCGCTACGTCTGCTTTTAGTGCCTCTGTTGGAATGTTATCTGATCCTGCTGCTTTGCCATTCTTGATCTGTCTGATGGCCATGCTGATCTCTTCAATTGTTGGTGGGCCAACATTGATTAGGTGGTCCGTGGGTGCTGCTTCGATGTTGGGTGGATTCAGTGGGGCTGGTCGATTCAAGAGTTCTTTGAAGTGTTCTACCCAACTGTTTCGCTGTTCTTCGATGTTGATGATTACTTTACCCTCTTTTCTTTCCACTGGTCGTTCTGGTTTACGGTAATTTCCATAGAGTTTCTTTGTTGTGTCATACAGTTGTCTCATTTTTCCTTCTCTTGCAGCCTTTTCCACCGTCGTTGCTAAGTCCTCCACATATTTACGTTTATCAGTTCTGATGCTCCTTTTCACTGGCTTGTTTACTTCTGTATATTCAGCTTGTGCCTTGGTTTTTTCTGCTCTTGTTCGACTGGTATTGATTGCTGCCTTCTTGTTCCTTCTTTCTTAAATCCTATCCAGTGTATCAACAGTGATCCATTCCTTGTGGTGGTGCTTCTTGTGACCCAGGACCTCATGACATGTTGAAGTGATTGCCTCTCTGATCCCCTTCCAGTTGCTCTCCATAGTAGTTCCTTCTCCATTGAGTAGATCATGAAAGGCCTGGAACTTATTGCTGAGGACTATCTTGAATTTGTTGAGTTTGTCAGTGTCCTGGAGAAAGGCCGTATTGAACATTTGTGATGTTGTCCTCCCCATTGTCCAGTGCTTCTTGAGTTTCAATTTCATCTTGGCAACCAGCAAGTGATGATCTGATGCTATATCAGCTCCTCTCTTAGTTCTCACGTACTCCATTGTCCTACTGAACTTTTTGTTGATGCAGATATGGTCGATTTGGTTCTGCATAGTGTGATCCGGTGAAGTCCATATGATTTTGTGAATGCGTTTATGTGGGAATATAGTACCGCCTATTACCAGTTTATTAAAGGCATATAGGTTTGCAAATCTCTTACCATTTTTGTTCCTTTCTCCCAGTCCGTGTCGTCCCATGATGTCTTCATATCCAGTGTTGTCCACTCCAACTTTGGCATTGAAATCTCCCATCAGAATTGTCAGGTCCTTTGTTGGGCACTTGTCGATGATTGACTGCAGCCTATTGTAGAATTGATCTTTAGCGTCTTCATTGTAGTCGTTGGTAGGCGCATAGCATTGGATGATGTTCATTGAAATGCCTTCTTTCTTTGTTTTGAAGGAGGCTTTGATGATCCTTGGTCCATGAAATTCCCATCCTATAAGTGCATTTTGCGCTTGTTTGGGCAACATTAATGCAACTCCTTGTGTATATGGAGCATTTTCTTGTTCATGGCCGGAGTATAACAGAAGCTCTCCTGAAGTTAGTCGTTGTTGTCCAACTTGTGTGCAGTGTGTTTCACTGATTCCAAGCACCTCTAGGTTGTAACTGCTCATTTCTGCAGCAGTTTGGAAGGCTCTCCCGGTGTCCCACATTGTACGAACATTCCATGTACCTAAATAAATGGTCGCTCTGGTTGTCAGAAGGGGCATCGGCCTCGTAACTACCGAAGGAATTCGGCTTTCATCATGAGGCGTCATAGATCTTCTAAATGAAGACCTGACTCCCAAGGCAGAGTTTAAAGGCTTAACTAATTTTTTCTGGTTAGCGTTTTTTAGCGAGTTAGTTTTCTGCGGGATGAGGTCGCTAACCCCATACCCAACCCTCCTCCTTTATCCAGGCTTGGGACCGGCAGTAGCCCTCGGAGGGACTACAGGCGGAGTTGTAGATTACTGTAGTCTCCACTACATACTTGTCGAAATGCTGATGAAAGTTCTGTATTCGTAATCACTCTTGATAATTAATGGACTTATAGTCAGACCCCATTCGTTCGATTTGTTTTAAACCTACACGTATGAATCCATACTTTCATCGTTCATTATAATGTAAACCAAGGATATATCGTATTGTATTTTATGAGTTATATATACATAAATCAGTAAATGCAACTGGGCCTTGGATGTACTCTCGGTATACCAATGAGTACACTACCTCATCAATTCCAGCTTCTGAATTAAAAACAAAGATTGTAATTCGTTTTTCACCTGGTTTATTATCATTCAAAAGGAAATCCTCTTCTTTCACAGTTGTTTTGGATTTGGATTTTAAGTTCAATGCATACAGTAAACTCAGATTTAGTAGCGGCCCCTGATGGTCATGTACGTGCGTAATTGTCTGTTTCATCTGAATCACAGTTGATACTGAATACAATAGACAGACAGATACTTTATCTAAGGTTTGATGTTTCGTTTACGTTTATGAGACTGTTCGATCTTTTATTCTTCCGATCACTATTTAAAAGTTACTTTATCTGAAATAAGTAACTTACACTAAAACGCGAAACGTTAGAAATTTAATTTCCTACTCATTGGAATATTACATGTATATTAATAGTTTTACTATAATTATGTTTGATTGCCTGTCTTGTAATAACTTCATATTTCGTATGACAGCTAGATCTACAGTCCTCCGTACGATGCTTCGCGCACCTCCAAATCATCTTGTTACCATCATTCTTCTCTTTTCTGAGGATGTAGAGCCACTCATCATCAAAAACTCAGAACCCTTATACCATTTACGTATTTTAATTTCATTACGATGAGGTGTAAAAAATATAATATGGAATGTGATTTGATATATATAGTAAATGGAATACATCCATTAAGCAAGAGAGATGGGAAAGGCAGCGGCGATAGGTAATAGCAGACAACTGTTCAGACTCGTTAAGGAAACCGATATTCGGAACCCGACTGTTAGCAAAACACTCTCAGAGAAAGATGGACATATTATACATTCTCAATTGAGGAGATTGGATGGATGGGCAGAACACTTTAGGGGTCAGTTCAACTGGCCTTCAGCCACACTTCGATTTCTCACGATCTCCAGTCAACCTGAATAGCAAGTTAATTTAGGTCCTCCGACTCTTTACGAAGTTGAAAAAGCCATAGGAAATCTGAAGCGAGGGAGAGCAGCAGGCCCTGACAGGTTCACTCCTGAAATTTTTAAGGATGGTGGTCCAGTATTAGCAGTGAGATTGACCGAGGTCTTAGGTATAACCTGGGAACTGGACATAATCCCAACTGACTGGTCCCAATCGCTGATTGTGCCAGTCTATAAGAAAGGACAAAAGTCCTCTTGTGACAATCACAGAGGAATCAGTTTGACTAATATAGTGTCTAAAATATTAGCTTCAATAATACTTCGATGCCTAACCAAAGTTCGTGAAGAACAGACTGGAGAAAACCAGGCTGGTTTTCAACCTGGACGTGGTTGTGTAGACCAGATATTCACACTACGTCAGGTTCTAGAACATAGACACACGTTCAGACGCCCCACAATGGTAGTATTTCTCGATCTTAAGGCGGCATTGGACTCTGTCGATCGTAAGGTTCTACGGCAGTGTTTGTCATTGAAAGGAGTACCAAAGAAGTACATTAACCTTATAAAGGCTCTCTAATCGAACACAACTGGTAGAGTGAGAGCTTATGGCGAACTGTCATCAGAATTGATTACCTCAAGTGTTGTTCGTCAGGGCTGCCCACTCTCTCCATTCCTGTTCAACTTTGTCGTCGACGTAGTTTTATAGATAATACTTTCCTCGTCTAGATTTCCAGGGTTCGAACTTCTATCAGGAGATTCACTTGTTGACTTGGAATATGCCGATGATATAGTTCTATTTGGTGAAGACGCTGACAAAATGCAGAGTCTTCTGACCACTCTAAGCAACAATGCAAGCATGTTCGGCATGCGATTCTCTCCCTCGAAATGCAAAATGTTGCTTCAGGATTGGGTTACATCGACACCCGAACTAGTGATAGGGAGTGAAGTAGTTGAGTGTGTCGACCGCTTCACTTAGCTTGGAAGACTCATCAGCCTTTGTGGTCTGGTGTGTGACGAAATCTCAGCACGGATACAGAAGGCTCGACTAGCTTTTGCCAACATGCGTCATTCATGGTGTAGGCGAGATATCCGTCTATCAACCAAAGGACGGGTTTACTGCGCAGCAGTTCGTCCTGTCCTACTTTATGGCAGTGAAACATGGCCGGTAAGAGTAGATGATATTCGTAGGTTACTAGTATTTGATCATAGATGTCTTCGAAGCATTGTTCGTATATCCTGGGACCACCGAGTAAGTATTACAGTTGTTAGGAAACGGGTACTAGGTAAGGATGGCAAATCGATTGATGACGTAGTGAAACTTCATCAGTTGAGATGGCTTGGACACGTGTTACGTATGCCCAACGACCGACTGCCTCGACGTGCGATGTTCAGTGGTATAGGAGTAGGTTGGAAGAAAGCTAGAGGCGGCCATACCAAAACACGTCACAAGTCCATGAAGTCACTGACAAGTGGACTGAGTCATGTTGGTAGGTGAAGACTATTTGGTTGGGATCCGGTAGATGATAGCAACCGATGGTTAGAGACCCTGAATGGCATGGCTCAAAATCGTTTGCAATGGAGCAGGTGCATACACTCTTTGTGTTCTCCCAAATTTTGATCTCCTAGTTCCTCCTTGTCTCTTTTTTTCTCTTCCCAAATTTATTTCACTGTATTGTACTCTTTAAATAACATCTTCAAGCACTAATCTTCCCGATTGCTGCTTATACTCTTGCTACCTCTTCCACTACGGGATTTGAATCGACAGCTGCATCTCTATGCTAATGTGGTGTGGCAACTCGAACTGATGTACGTACGTACGAAGTTCTACGTTGTTACTGACTGACTGAGTTCAGCGAAGAGTTCTCTTTTTATCGAATTCATTTTCAAAGCTGTAAAATCGCAAATATATATACTTGTTTTTTAGGATGATAATAATTATAATAATTCTGATAATAAACTCCTGTTAGACTTGGTGACAGGGAGGTAAGATAAACCAAAGTATTCAAAAGATTTTAAACAGGGAAAACTTAATAATCGTTCGGTAAATCCACATTTAATTGGTCAGATGAGATTATTAGTGAACATTCATCGGCTGGAGAATAATTTTCGCAACTTTGCTGCAAAGAATGTTCTTTTTAAAGAATCAGAAATTCTCTTTAAGACGTATGTGACTCTGTCACCCTTAAAGTCGATGTTCATGCATAATGTTTTCTTTTCTACTGAAATTATTTGTGTTTTCGGCGGCTTCGGTTTTATGTTCCTATCAATGAATATCGAAGGATATCCGTTTTTGTTAAGTATCTCCTGGGTGACAATTATTAAGTGTCTTTAAAAGATGAATCATGTCATATTTGTTGTCACAAATGATAAAGATATCATTTACGTACCTTTTATACAAGTGGAAGTTTCCTATAATCGTTTTAAGTTGGTTGTTTTCTAAACTGACCATGAAGCAACCTGCTAATAATGGAGCAAGAGGCGATCCCATTACTATGCCATTCTTCTGTCTGTGAATTACGTCGTTGAATGTTAATTGTACATTGCAAGTGCAACGTAGTAGTAGTTCCTTCAAATAAACTTTCGGTATTTCGATGTTAAACTCATTATTATTTGCGTACTTGCAGATAAAACTAATGGTCACTAATGTTCGATTTTAATAATATTGAATATCCGAATTAATGCACACATCTGATGTTCTTTATTGATCTCTTATGTTCGATCAGTCAGTATATGTTAATGACTCCACAACAGTGCGCACCCACAATCCTGCGTGAGTGATTCTAACTCAGGACCTTCCTTCTCGCACGCGAACGCTCAAACTCCAAACTACTGAGGAGGAATCTAATGATGTTATTGTCTAACTTCAACCAATCCACGATATTGCGCGGCCATCTTCCACTGTGTGAGGTAGATACCTGTCTCTACCCGACACGGATTAGTTCTACTGGTCACGGTGTCTCACTAGAACTCCGAGAATGACCTCTCGAAGCTAGTCACTAGTTAGCACATAATATTTTTAAGTTTGGGGTTGTGGAGATTGTCGAATTTCATTAAAACAGTATGACCCAAAGCGCTGTAAGCATAAATCTGTATATGGTAGAATTGAGTTACAATGCTTTTTTCTGCTCATGTAAGTAAGAGGTGATATTATTAATCTAAAATAATAACTACTACGTAAATTATACCTTTTTTTCTTTCTTCTCCACTCTATCTATTAGCTTGCCAAATTATGCCGTGAACTGCGTAATTTTAACACAATGTTCTGTCTACTAGTTGGATTACATCAAACACCTGTCGAACGATTAAAACAAACTTGGGATCGCTTACCAAATAAATACCAAAAAATCTATCGAGATTTAAGTGTTAGTTTTTTCTCTTAAATTATATATATATATATATATATATATATATATATATATATATATATGATGTACTTATATGTTGTCTTTTGTAAAGACAACGAACTGTCGATATTTCGTACTCTCATATTCCATATGAAATAATTAAGTCTCATGTGATCGCCGAAGAATGCTTGTGGTATTTTTAAATCATAATAATAATTCGTGCTATTATGACTGTCCGTTTGTGGCGGTGTACAAATAGCATTTTTTTAACATAAAATGTCACTATCTAAATAACTGTTGAAAATCAACATATACACTAGGCAGTTAATTTGTCTTCAAATAGAACTCTTCAGCTATGCATACACACTCACGCACTTGGTCTTTTTTGTTGTGATGTTATTTGAAGATGTACTGTGGTATTTTAAATAAATAGTTCGGCACATTAAGTTATGTAGTTGAGTTAATCAAGACATTATGAGTAAAAATAAACTGAATTTAATTTATAAAATCCCTTAATTCTACTTTGGTTTTATAGACAATAGTTGATTTGAGCACAGACTTTCTTTAACAGTGCACGAAATAAATTAACTAGTAAATTTCACCTGATGTTTTATTTTCTCTTTCTTGCTTACAAGATTTAAGTGTTGATTTAACTAGGAAAAACGTTTTTCTAAAGTATCAACGTCTATCATGTATTCACAAATATAAACCTCTATATATCGTCGGTATTGATAATTTATTTACGTATATTCTTGTAAAATTTACTTGGATGTACATATTAAGAAGAAGAGTAAAGATATTCGATTAGTGGTTGAATAATTTCATGTTTTTCCTTAAACTATGAGATTAAAATCGCTTAATATCTTCTTTTCTACAGACTAATTCTTCCTGCACAATATCCTTATATCTAATTTTTCTCTTATATATTACCATCATTAAGTTAACCACTTCTATGAATCCGGTGTTCATCTTGTTGTGCTAATGCGGTATGGCAACTTGGACCGATGCATATGTGTGCATGTTCCTACGTTATAGCTGACTGATTGACTGAATCTCCTGTAACATCTGATTGCACTAATCTATGTAAAGTCATGAAGTCAAAGTGAATACGTCGTTTATCCCAACCTTCATCATCACGTCTACCAGTCAAAAATGTCTGAATAAGTAATGTATCCAGAGTTTAAATAGGACCTATGCATATTATTGAATACCTTTCAGTGTAATTAATGAATAACTTGACAGTATGATACGGCTATTTTAGTAATAATTAATTTATGTTTCACAATTTTGCAGTTCGTTTTATTATCCAAAAGTATCTCATCCTTACAAATAAACTGGGAGCTTAGTCGTTTAAAATGACAATCGATCCAATTATGTTATGTCAGTGTTAACCATATCTAACTAACTAGCTGGATTGGAAGAAAGTAAAAATCGATTAAATGGAGATATTGCATCACTTCATAATGTAACTGACTGTTGTCCTGAGCCATATCGACAGGTACATACTGGTTGTAATGAGCGAAATAATCGGATTCTATAATTGGTGATATTAGATGACATCACTTAAAAACATTCGTATTAGGCGCAGTTACATTTATTCTTTACATTCTCTTACCTTCTAAGCTTATAGTCATTTCGTGCTTTGCATTATTCCATCTCATTCGTTCTTTTTTGAATGATATTCTTTATGTATAAGCTTTCTACTGTAGTTAATATTATCTTGACTGCTTTTCTTCTATTTCTCGTTCTTCATATGTTGTTTATACGTTAAGCACCTGGATCGATATATGTGCGTATTTTGTTTTCTCTTATTTACTAACTATTGAAACCAATGTACTCATGTTTTGTTTGGTTTCGTCTTTGTTTCTGGTTTTATCTGTATTCGGACGGGAATGAAGAAAAAGTTCTATTCTTTTATTCACTTCAAATCTATTTTCACTATAAGAAAGATTCTTGTAAATATTTCTTAGTGTTTTCTTAACATGCAAACACTTTATTTTAAGAAAACTTCTTTTCATTAATTGAAGTAACTAGTAAACGGAAGAAATGTTTTCAGTGACAGATCCATTTATATTTTCTTAGTTTGTAAGTTTTTTTCATTGCATACTTTAACTCTTCTTAAGTAACGATTGATGTTAGCACATTTTACAGTTTAATCTTTACTGACGATGTGTTTATCATCTGTCGATTAAATAAGTAGGAGTTGATAATCTTCCCATCTCTTTTAGTATTACATTTTCTGGATTATTTAAATTCGAAATGTACATACTTAGTTATTTTTCTTTAGAGATTTGTAAGTTTGGCACTGTTCAACTACTATTATTGAGTTGCCGTCTCAACACCCCCTTACCTTCGGCTTCTTATCTTAATGTTATATACATTACTTAATTGATTCGCAGTAGACTAAACAAAATGTTCCCTTCTAGTTCTTCATTTGACATTAATTGATGATCAAATCTATTCTTAAACTGCGAAAAATATTTCCAATTTTATGAGATAGTTCATAATTTTTGTGTTAAAATTAACTGATAAACAACTGAAAATTGAGACAACACTATTGAACAATTGTTTCATTTTATCTGTATGGTGTTGTGGAAATTGTTGAGTTTTTAATTGTAATCATGAACCGATCAATGTTAGACCACCACTGAAAACCTTGGAGCACTGAACGGCCGTTTCGTCCTGGTATGGGACTTACAACAGTGCGCATACGCAATCTCACTCACTGGGTCCGAACCCCGACCTTCGGTCTTGCGCGTGAGCACTTAACCACTAGACCACTGAACAGAAATCTAATGATGTTAATGTCTAACTTCAACCAATCCACGATGTTGCGCGGCCATCTTCCATTGTGTGAGGTAGATACCTGTCTCTACCCGACACGGATTAGTTCCACTGGTCACGGTGTCTCACTAGAACTCCGAGAATGACCTCTCGAAGCTAGTCACCAGTTAGCACTTAATAATTCTGAGTTTGGGGTTGTAGATATTTTTGAGCTGTTTATGGGCGCGTTCTCGTGCTTCAAGTCCACGTTCAGCTTAAGCTTTGCCACGGCCCAGTCTTTCTAATTCCAATTCACTTTCTGCTCGATGTTGACTTGCTAGTTTATTAAAGTGTTTAGCATGAGCTTGTTCCATATCAGCTAATTTGGATTGTATGAACTGAATCTGCTTTCTTCTATTTGAATTCTCTTCCTCCAGACGTCGTAATATTATTTCTTGCTCTGTACGATTAAGATTATTCTTATTCTGTCATGTTTGTAAGCTTCACGAGTTCACTTAAACTGTGAACGAGAACAATACTCAGTGACCAAAGATCAGTGATCTGACTATTGACGCGTCCCAGCCCCGCTATCTAGGAGAAGAAGTCCAGGCTTGATATGGAAGATATATTCTGCAACAGCCAGAAGTGAGCGAGCAGCAAGCAAACGTATTTATACAAATATTTACAATCGATATTGTCATAGAAAATTTTTAAACACTAATCAATGAGTTCATTAATTGACCTATTTGCACATTTAAACGATAGTTCATCAATTGACTGCTATTCAAACATTTAATCGATCAGTTCATCAATTGACCCCAATACAAATATTTAAACATTTAACCAATAAGTTGATCGATGCGATAAAATTTAAAATATGAGTTTGGGGATCTATCGTCCCCAACACTCCTCCCCTTTTTAATAGCGGGCTTTCCTGGGGTCAACCTGCATCTTGACTGTAGCTCGCCGTTCTCTTATAGGCCACCGTCCGAGACGTGTCTCAGCTTGTTTTTGAGTTTTTTCTTGTGGTGGGGTTGCCGGTAAGTTGAAAGTATCAAGCAAGATGTCGAGAGGAAGATTTACTCCTGTTGATGGGTGGTCTAGGGCTATCCGCCTACGTAGTTGATTTCGGTATCTAGTCCACGTGTCTCTTCCCACCTTTACATTGTACATAACTTGGCCTAGTCTTCCAACCACACGTGCTTCGATCCAAGGACCATGATTTGCTCTATAGTCTCGAGCGAACACAGGGCATCCAACCTCGTACGCTGGAAGCTTCTGAGATTTGATCTGAGATGGTGGTGGTGTGGTTCTTGGGCACATGAGACTGTGGGCCGTCCTCAATTTCCTTCCCATCAGGATCTCTGCCGGGGACTTCTGCTGTGGTAGCATATCACTAGGTGTTGTTCGGTAAACAAACAAGAAATTCTGCAGTGTTTCTACTGGCGTCCCCTCCCCTTTCGACTTCATTAGAGCTCTCTTGAATGTATCCACAAATCTTTCTGCTTGTCCATTTGACTGTGGGTGGTAAGGTGGAGAGCGGAAATGCTTGATCGATAGGCGTTTGCAAAATTCTTGAAATTGACTTGAGGTGAATTGCGAACCATTATCGGAAACGATTATATCCGGTAATCCGTTGCGAGAAAACATCTCTGTCAAAAGTTGCATCGTTTGGGTTGTCGTTGGTGGCGTGACGGGAACGATTTCTGGCCATTTCGAAAAGGCGTCAACAACGACTAGATAGGTGATTCCATTAATTGGGCCTGCGAAATCGACATGTATCCTGGACCAGGGATACTCAGGCTGTGACCATGGGACCGGCAGTAATTTCGCGTTACACTTGGCTGCTTGCTGACACTGTGCGTGGTCCTCTGTCAATAGGGAAGTAATAACTGCATCTTCGCCGGCCGTATGGTGTTCGCTGGTTGACAACTCCGTCGTTAGGTTCCTCGTATATGCTTCCAAGTCATGTGGTTGTTGTCGTAGTTGGGGTTGTGATACCTGGTTGCATATGGTATTCAACGGGACATCAGCTAAATTTAAGTGATCGAACCAATCTAACCCGAGCAAATTTAGATCAGCTGGCGTTATGTAGCATACCCCAACAAATGTAAAATCACGGAAAGTAACTGTAAATCCCATTTGTCCTAGCAGGTGAAGGTAATTACCACTTTAAATCTGGAAGTCGTTAACCTAGCAATATCAAGTGTGTGATCAATGTTCTTGTTTCAAGCATGTTAAGTTTTTCTTGAGTAACTGTCATTTGATTATATCAATTAGCATTTATTCTGTGTGTGTATGTGTCTATATTATCTTCAAGTAATTGGCATAGTACTAGAATTAATTTATTTGCCATTGTTGTAGTTTATGTAAAAATAGTTTGGATGCTTATCGTCAAACATCTATAATTGCGGCAGATAGTATAGGGGTACTGTTCAAGGTATACTGGTGGTTAACATTACCCAATTACCTACATCGAGGAATGTTATTTCCTCTTGAGAAACCTAAAAATGATTGACTGTCTGATGAACCTAGGAGGATAGGGGCAGTGCCTAAGCGACAACTGTTTGAACCCAGTTGCAGATAATCATTTTTATGAATCGTTTCTATAGTATTACTACCGAACATTTTCAACCCAATTATTGGCACCAGAAATTCGTAGCTTCAATATTTTCTAACCCTTTAAATTCTATGTACCAAAAGCAGGATCGCCGAAAATACTATAACGGCACGGTACCTCAATACAGTTGGTAGTACAACCTATCAGCTAAAGTAGTTACTTTTGATATTAACGCTATCTAACCGACCTTCCTGATATCTTAAGACATTGAGGCTGAAGTACTGAAACCGATGTAGTCCTACAGTTGTAATTGATAAGTCTAATCATTATGTCAAAGTGGCAATGAAATAACAGTCAGAGATTCGTTCGTATGGTGCTAATCAATGAACAAAATTGATTTCAGGTTGAAATATTGTGATGTTGTAATCCGAAATCAAATTTACCCAGTGATTTGTATACGGAATAAATCAGTAGCTTATAGCACATAATATTTTGTATCTTTCTACTTAATAGTATTTAAAAAAAAACGTTTTTATCAGCATTACCCTCCCATCCATATCGCTTCATATTTGCAGATGGTATTGGATACATCTAGAAATTTTCATCATTATCGTACTCTCCTATCAGCTAATAATGTATCGGCTCCAATGTTACCCTATCTACCATTGGTATTGAAAGATTTAACATTTATCCATTTGGGTAATCCTTCTTGTACTCCAGATGGATTGATAAATTTTGTCAAATTACGAATGCTTGCTAAAGAGGTTAGTTAAATAGTTATTATTATTACCTCTGCTTTTTTTCTAGCTGTTAGTGATTTGGTTCAGCCTATTTCAGTACTGCTAACAACCCCATTATCACAACGGTACAATTCAGAACTATGTTTAGAAAATATTTTATTTATTTATAACAATCTACCCAATGCTCAATTTATTCGAAAATATGTTTAAAAAAATTTAATACTCAGTATTTCATTAGGGTTGACACTTATCTGTTAAATATTGAACTAGTTCAGTTCCTTACTGTACTGTATCATAAGTTCGACTGAAGTTTTGATATAATAACTTAGTGGTTTACGAGGGGATCAGGTATCCGTAGACAATAATAATATTTGTAAAGAGTTCCGAATTAGATCAGAATGGCTCCATAACATCTAGTTTTCAATGAGGTGATAAATTGATCATTTTTTATACATATCACCCTAATTAATTTTAGATCATTTAAGCTGAATATGTAACAGTTGCTAGTCATGTCAAATAAGTCTTTTTACACTTCTCGTTGGTTTAACCTTCAAACTTTACCTTTTCAGACAAGTAAGCCCACACTAACTACGTGGGATCTGGTACAAATCTGAATCTATCCAAGTCATCATTCTGTAAATACTAAGTATATAAAACAAAACCAATACTAGTGATAAGTTAGGGTTTAGGTGATAGAGCAAAGAAAAATTAAAAATTTAGCACCTATGCCAATACACTCAACCTCTTATGAGATTGATCGTGATAAGTTTCAGCTATTTTAATGTGTTGTATTTATTTAACCAGGAATGTATTCTCTGTATTACAATTATTTTATTAAAAACTTGTTAATAACAAATCAGTTATTGTTGAAATGTGTGTTCTTATAAACAACTAGTCAGCTATTGATATATCTTAACAAAATGTGTTTCACACGTACTCTCTTTTGTGTTTTACATCAAAAGAACAAATATTTTAAACAACAAAACATTGTTCAACTACGATCAAAATGTTTCTGTTTAAAAATAAACTTCACTCTTGACAAGTTGATTGAGTTTTGTTTAAATTACAGAAGATTTAATAAGATTAACTATAAATGAATATATATACGTAACGCAAATGAAATGTAAGTGCTGTGCGTTGGTATACGTTTGTGTGTATGTATTGACAAAACGAAAAGTGAAGTATTTACTTAAATAGTGCTTCTAAATGTCTGTGTGTGTGTGCATGTCTGTATATTTTATATCCAAGAAAACGATAAATACACTTGAAATAACATAAAATAATGAAACGAGTTGAACGAAACCAACGTCACGTCGCATAAGCTAGTCAATTTTGGTTTGTTGCGCAAGTTATTTGTTATTGACATAATTAACATTAGTATTATTGCCACAACTACCAAATCTACTTGACAGGTTACAATGGTTATTTTTCAAGCGTAAAATTATTAAAACACGATATTCATAAACACAGAAATGTTTTTTCCATTGATCAATAAATACCGTAATTGTTTCATTGCCCCTATCATTTAAATTTAGATTGATTACACATTTTATCCATCCACTTTCAACTCTACAAAGTCAATTTGTATCTTTTCACAACCATGTATATATGATATCTATAACTATTTTCTTCGCAGAAGGTTGTTGATTATTCCCTACTTCTACTCCCTGCGAGCTATCACTGTATACAAGTGTCACTTCCATCATTGTACCATAAAACATTTACTTTCAGACCCGTTTAACAGAACAAAGTCAAGAGATTGATATTTAATTCCGTTGAATAAATTTAAGAATTTAGAAAAGTCAAAGCACGAATCTTAGTCAAGACAACAACAACAATTTTTAATATATATGATGATTGACTTAAGTTATTTGGTAAAATATTGGGAGTCAAGTGAACAATCATATTGGTGTTATTAGTTGAAAAATAGAATCTTTTTGATCATTTAAAAATCTTTGTACGTATTTATTAGTCTGGCTCAAATTTCAATTGATCTACAAAATCGCCCAGAATCAGAAACAAGACAACTACACATTGATTTCATTGGATAATAAATAGTCTTGTTATAATAATGAATTTACCAAAGTTTGAAAGTCTATAAGTCACTAAATTTCAAGTTTTTGATTTCATTTAGATTTCTAGACCTACATTATTGAGAAATTCCATATTGGAATGGAAAAATTGTCCCAATTCTTTCATAGTATAAGCGGGTTGTGGAAATCGTTAAATCTGTACTTTTATATCCCAAACTGATTTTATGTAAACAACTAATAAAACCCAGAAAGCATTGGACTGTTGTTTCATCCTAATACACGACTTATCAACAGTGGGCATTCACGACCACATCAGCAATAAAACCCTCGAACTCCAAGCCTCACGGCGAATGCTTAATTTTCAGACCACTCATACTTTGTCGTTTTTAGAACCAGTTTATGTCCCAGCCACACATGGTGTCTTATTTAAAAACATATAACAATTGTGGACATGTGTCAATTCACTAACCTTTATCTCTATCCAATCTTGATTTCTTTCCATATTTGTTACTAGAAAGAACCACTTTTCGTATTAATAAGCTTGTTCAGTTTTTTTCTATTCCTAAAGTGCTATTAAGCTACTTGTATTATGGCCCGACTGTAGCTGCTACCTTGACGTGGTGGTCAGGCTTGCCTATCGTGATGACCCAACCGAGCTATATTGGCTGGAGCATTTGTTCCTGTATGTTCTACCATCCCAGGCAGGTCTATTGGAGAACGGCAAAACTAAAAGCCGCAACTCAAGGTCTGAGGGCGAAGTCGTACTGCTGACTGTAGAGGGGAGTAACAGCAGTAAGGTGTTTCCCTCCAAAAACCAGCATCTTCAGCGATGCTGCATTCTCACAAGGAAGGGAAGGGTTAGAAAAGGTTGACCCTAAAAATGTCACCCCTCACCTTACCTCACGGATTTCCGTCTCCGGCGGTAAGTCCCTTTGAAGAACGGAGCTAACACGTCAAAATCCTCCCACAAAAAGGCCGTGCACGATCAGCCTCAAGGAGTTGATCTTTGGGCCCCACGGTTACGCTGCCAGATCGTTAAGACCAACACTAATCCAATTTCCTTTTCAAGTTCCTCAAGAAATACCCTTCCACGGTTTGGGGAGCCGGGAGGTGACACCAGCCCTCATACCCGTAACAGCACACGAGACCAAGTTGGTCACATTCAAATACTTCTTACACCTCCTAATAACTCTCTTACCTCCACAACTAACCCTCCTCACGTCTTTTTTTCACCTTGCATCGCTAGGGCAAACGATTCGAGTACGCGAAACGTTATTCCTGGTCTCCTGAAACCACGCTCTAAACTACACGTAGGAGCTTTTAATGTACGAACACTTTGCCAAATAGGACAGCAGGCTTCCTTAGCTAGGACTTTAGAATCTCGCGCCATCGATGTGTGCTGCGTCTCCGAAACGCGCATACAGGATCCAAGTAGCGTCATTCATTTGACCTCACCATGCCAAAATAAAGAACCGACTCGATTTACGCTTCGTGTATCTGGAAGCCCTGATTCTGCTTCCCGTGGCCTCGCCGGCGTAGGTATAGCATTGAGTCCTAGGGCAGAACTAGCTCTCTTAGAGTGGATCCCAGTAGACGGTCGTTTGTGCGCTGTCCGACTGAATGGAACAATAAGGATCCGAAAAGATAGGGACACTCGTCGTTGCCTCTTCGTCGTCTCTGCCTATTCTCCCACTGACTGCAGCTCAGATGATGTAAAAGATGAGTTTTACAGAAAGCTTTCGGACCTTCTCCGAAAAGCTAAGCGCTCGGATGTAGTAATAGTGGCCGGTGACCTTAATGCTCAAGTAGGTAAACTAAGCGATAGGGAAAGACACCTGGGTGGATCTTATGGTGTAGTGGCTCAAAGAACAGATAATGGCGACCGTCTGTTGCAGCTATTTTCAGATAACCGCCTGTTCCTTGCAAATACTAACTTTAAGCATAAGGAAAAACATCTTTTAACATGGCGACCCCCTAATTCGTCCCAACGTTGGACCCAAATAGATCACATCGCTATCAGCCACCGATGGAGGGGCTCGATAGAAGACTGTCGCTCATTCTGGAGCACATGCCTAGATTCAGATCATGCTCTAGTGCGAGCGCGTATTTGCTTGCGTCTTACTGGACGTAGGAAAGACGCTGCAAGGAAACCTCTGAGGGCCGTACTTAATGATAGTCAAGCTAAGAGTATATTTGGGGAACCACTAGGAAAGCAGTTAGGCAGCCATGTATGTGATGCCCACCCTGAGGCAGCATGGAATGATATCCGAAAAGCTGTGTAAACAGCATTGATATCTGCTAGTACGGTAAACCATAGGTTAGGGAGAAACACTGGATCTCAGCAGCATCTACCGCACTGATAGATGCTCGAAAACTCATTCCATCTGGCTCTGAACACAACGAAGAGCGGAGTCAGCTTAAGCGCAAGCTGATAAGAAGTCTACGCAATGATCGTGAACACTGGTGGGTGGCGAAAGCAAGAGAGATGGAAAAGGCAGCGGCAATATGTAATAGCAGACAACTGTTCAGACTTATTAAGGAAACCGATATTCGGAACCCGACTGTTAGCAAAACACTCTCAGAGAAAGATGGACATATTATACATTCTCAATTGAGGAGATTGGATGGATGGGCAGAACACTTTAGGGGTCAGTTCAACTGACCTTCAGCCACACTTCGATTTCTCACGATCTCCAGTCAACCTGAATAGCAAGTTAATTTAGGTCCTCCGACTCTTTACGAAGTTGAAAAAGCCATAGGAAATCTGAAGCGAGGGAGAGCAGCAGGCCCTGACAGGTTCACTCCTGAAATTTTTAAGGATGGTGGTCCAGTATTAGCAGTGAGATTGACCGAGGTCTTAGGTATAACCTGGGAACTGGACATAATCCCATCTGACTGGTCCCAATCGCTGATTGTGCCAGTCTATAAGAAAGGACAAAAGTCCTCTTGTGACAATCACAGAGGAATCAGTTTGACTAATATAGTGTCTAAAATATTAGCTTCAATAATACTTCGATGCCTAACCAAAGTTCGTGAAGAACAGACTGGAGAAAACCAGGCTGGTTTTCAACCTGGACGTGGTTGTGTAGACCAGATATTCACACTACGTCAGGTTCTAGAACATAGACACACGTTCAGACGCCCCACAATGGTAGTATTTCTCGATCTTAAGGCGGCATTGGACTCTGTCGATCGTAAGGTTCTACGGCAGTGTTTGTCATTGAAAGGAGTACCAAAGAAGTACATTAACCTTATAAAGGCTCTCTAATCGAACACAACTGGTAGAGTGAGAGCTTATGGCGAACTGTCATCAGAATTGATTACCTCAAGTGTTGTTCGTCAGGGCTGCCCACTCTCTCCATTCCTGTTCAACTTTGTCGTCGACGTAGTTTTATAGATAATACTTTCCTCGTCTAGATTTCCAGGGTTCGAACTTCTATCAGGAGATTCACTTGTTGACTTGGAATATGCCGATGATATAGTTCTATTTGGTGAAGACGCTGACAAAATGCAGAGTCTTCTGACCACTCTAAGCAACAATGCAAGCATGTTCGGCATGCGATTCTCTCCCTCGAAATGCAAAATGTTGCTTCAGGATTGGGTTACATCGACACCCGAACTAGTGATAGGGAGTGAAGTAGTTGAGTGTGTCGACCGCTTCACTTAGCTTGGAAGACTCATCAGCCTTTGTGGTCTGGTGTGTGACGAAATCTCAGCACGGATACAGAAGGCTCGACTAGCTTTTGCCAACATGCGTCATTCATGGTGTAGGCGAGATATCCGTCTATCAACCAAAGGACGGGTTTACTGCGCAGCAGTTCGTCCTGTCCTACTTTATGGCAGTGAAACATGGCCGGTAAGAGTAGATGATATTCGTAGGTTACTAGTATTTGATCATAGATGTCTTCGAAGCATTGTTCGTATATCCTGGGACCACCGAGTAAGTATTACAGTTGTTAGGAAACGGGTACTAGGTAAGGATGGCAAATCGATTGATGACGTAGTGAAACTTCATCAGTTGAGATGGCTTGGACACGTGTTACGTATGCCCAACGACCGACTGCCTCGACGTGCGATGTTCAGTGGTATAGGAGTAGGTTGGAAGAAAGCTAGAGGCGGCCATACCAAAACACGTCACAAGTCCATGAAGTCACTGACAAGTGGACTGAGTCATGTTGGTAGGTGAAGACTATTTGGTTGGGATCCGGTAGATGATAGCAACCGATGGTTAGAGACCCTGAATGGCATGGCTCAAAATCGTTTGCAATGGAGCAGGTGCATACACTCTTTGTGTTCTCCCAAATTTTGATCTCCTAGTTCCTCCTTGTCTCTTTTTTTCTCTTCCCAAATTTATTTCACTGTATTGTACTCTTTAAATAACATCTTCAAGCACTAATCTTCCCGATTGCTGCTTATACTCTTGCTACCTCTTCCACTACGGGATTTGAATCGACAGCTGCATCTCTATGCTAATGTGGTGTGGCAACTCGAACTGATGTACGTACGTACGAAGTTCTACGTTGTTATTGACTGACTGACTGACGTGTATTATGGCGTATATAAGGGAACAGAACGATACCGGCGTAATTAAATAGAATGACTGAATTATTTTTTTCAGATTTTATTGTTTTCTTTCAACTTTCAGTGAACCTACTGCATAAGCTGTAGTATGTCTTCCGTGCTGTTTTATTTCAATAAATCAGTATATTTGTTTTTGTATGTTGCACGGACATATTCTCCCATACACTGACGTTCAGTGTTTACATTTACGTCAATATACAGGTGTTTATTAAAGGTAAGATAATTTTCAGTTGATATCATTTTGAGATGCAACTACATTGAGTCCGATTCTGTGCATAAATTCTACGGCATAATTATCAAACGCAAACTAAAACACTGGAAATCATCGTGTGACTATGTAACAAGACCTTGTCTTTGAGAATCTTGTGTATTTGAAAAATCTCCGTTGTACTCGTCACCATGAAAATTCTTCATTAGTTCTCTCTGCTTAAGTGTTTTTGCTGTTTCACAGTTATGTTTACATGAAATTTTCCCTTAAATATAACTATTTCTCATTCCTACGTTGTCATTGTGGTTGCTGTTGCTCATGTTGTTTTCGCACATCTTTTATTCTTACTTCCTAGGTTCGTGCCATTTGTCGGATGTGTAATGTTGATTATGATTTATGCACTACTCCATATCGCGGTCGTTCTGGTGGTGCTGTCGGACGTGCACGTGCTGGTGCCAATTTAAGCGCGCTTAAAGCAGTCGCTTCTGTTTCATCTATCAATCCAAAATCGTACTTTTCAAATCTTACATCGATGAATAACTCCAGTCAAACAAACCATAATAATAATAATAGTGCTAGTACAGATTCTAATTGGTCAGAACACGATATGGTTGAAGTGAAATTCAGTCATTCAAATTCTCTTGACGATAGTGAACAACAACAACGTGAAAGTATACTTAACTTTGATGCGAATCCTATGAATCCGACTAATGTTTCGAATGGTTTTAACGGTGGGCAGTGTTTTTACTTTTTCTTTCCTTCCTATGATTTTTACTTAAGAGGCTTGTGAGTGGTTTGTTAGCGAAAATTAAAATGATGTGAATGTTGATCTACCCCAGTCCTTTGAGAAATAACTTAATATTTTAGAAAAAAGTTGCTCTCCAACTTTATACAAGATCTATTCTATAATACTTTTGAAGGTTCAAACAACTAAGAATTTAAATGGTTAAGATCATGAGTCAGTTGAAGCTAGACCACCATGGAAAACCTGGAATCGGTGGACGGCTGTTTCGTCCTTTTGTGGGACTTCTCAGCAAGAATTTATTAGCTTCTGTTCACATCGATTATTTTTGTATAGCTCGTATGTAATCTTATTAACTCCCTGTTCATATTTTCCCATGGAATTGAGTGGTATATATATAGTCGTTAAATTTGACATTTTAACTTTTCTTCAGTCAGATCCCATTATTACCTTTAGACTAATGCACATCAAGTCAGGATACTGTAGGTATTTCCTCTATCTTTCTCAAAACTTGAAAAGTTCTCGAGGAATTATAGCTTATTCAATAGTTTTCAAAATTTGTTCTGAGTTTGTAAAAGTTATGATTGGAAAATTCTCTAATTTTATATGATAACCTTAGCTAACCAAAAACGTTCTTCTCCCTCCGTTCAAGTTTATTAGCGGTAACCTACTATCAAAATGAATCTTTTGGTTTGTTTATCTTTGCCTTACCCTTGTACAACCGATTTAGAGTAACCATTAAAGATCACATATATTCAGCCATCACTGTCTTCGAAATATCGTTTTCATATTATAAAACGATCTAGTGACTAATGTTCTTGCTAAGTGTTCTACGTAATGAAGGCAAGATTTTGAGCCTTTATCGGTTTACACCTTTTCTATGTGTGTTGCACAAGTCTATACATCATCCTACCTTAAAATACATTAATCATAAACAGTTTTGAAAAATTTACTGTGTGATGACACAGAATATGGCAAGAATCTATTGATTTTTTTTTCTAGATTGTGTAGGGAAATGCAAGCTATTTGTTAGTATCTGCAAAATATAATAAATCCAACGTTTTGATGATATGTTACAAAACATCAGTCAAATTAGTCTAGACACATCCATACTTGTTGATACTAGGAACTACAATTGATCAGTTTTTATTGGGATATATGCATCATTTGTGGATTATCTCGATATTCCCTTTTAGTTACAACTATTCAGTATATTGATAGTGTTTAAAGTAATGTACTGCGTTGTTATCTCAGCGTGAACATTAACCCTGGAATTTACATCTAGTTGATGAGTTTCAATCAAAATAAAACTCTCGTCCTAGATTCTACGGTCACCTGCAATATGAATATAGATTTTCTCAGTAATATGTGATAAGGGGTTTTGTGGATATTATAGTAATTTCAATAGTTGAGGTCATGAGCCAATTGAAGCTAGACCCCCATGGAAAACCTAGAAGCACTGGACGGCCGTTTCGTCCTATTGTGGGACTCCTCAACAGTGTGCATCCACGATCTCGCCTCGCGGGATTCGAACCCAGGACCCATCAGTTTCGCGCTTCGAGCGCTGGAGACAATGGTGGAAGCGTCGCTCAATCGTGTGGATTTGTTGAAGTTAGACATTAACACAATTGGATACCGGCTCAGTGGTCTAGTGGTTAAGCGCTCGCGCGCGAGACTGATAGGTTCTGGGTTCGAATCTCGCGAGGCAGGATCGTGGATGCGCACTGCCGAAGAGTCTCATAGTAGGACGAAACGGCCGTCCAGTGCTTCCAGGTTTTCCATGATGGTCTAGCTTCAATTGACTCATGATCTCAACTGTTGAAATTACTGTGTGATAGGGAAACTGAAATATGATTGGCAACTGAGCGTGGACGAACAGGCACTTGGCTTACCAACTATTAAATATATGTTATTATTTGGTGAAGACGCTGATAAAATGCAGAGTCTTCTGACCACTCTAAGCAACAATGCAAGCATGTTCGGCATGCGATTCTCTCCCTCGAAATGCAAAATGTTGCTTCAGGATTGGGTTACATCGACACCCGAACTAGTGATAGGGAGTGAAGTAGTTGAGTGTGTCGACCGCTTCACTTAGCTTGGAAGACTCATCAGCCTTTGTGGTCTGGTGTGTGACGAAATCTCAGCACGGATACAGAAGGCTCGACTAGCTTTTGCCAACATGCGTCATTCATGGTGTAGGCGAGATATCCGTCTATCAACCAAAGGACGGGTTTACTGCGCAGCAGTTCGTCCTGTCCTACTTTATGGCAGTGAAACATGGCCGGTAAGAGTAGATGATATTCGTAGGTTACTAGTATTTGATCATAGATGTCTTCGAAGCATTGTTCGTATATCCTGGGACCACCGAGTAAGTATTACAGTTGTTAGGAAACGGGTACTAGGTAAGGATGGCAAATCGATTGATGACGTAGTGAAACTTCATCAGTTGAGATGGCTTGGACACGTGTTACGTATGCCCAACGACCGACTGCCTCGACGTGCGATGTTCAGTGGTATAGGAGTAGGTTGGAAGAAAGCTAGAGGCGGCCATACCAAAACACGTCACAAGTCCATGAAGTCACTGACAAGTGGACTGAGTCATGTTGGTAGGTGAAGACTATTTGGTTGGGATCCGGTAGATGATAGCAACCGATGGTTAGAGACCCTGAATGGCATGGCTCAAAATCGTTTGCAATGGAGCAGGTGCATACACTCTTTGTGTTCTCCCAAATTTTGATCTCCTAGTTCCTCCTTGTCTCTTTTTTTCTCTTCCCAAATTTATTTCACTGTATTGTACTCTTTAAATAACATCTTCAAGCACTAATCTTCCCGATTGCTGCTTATACTCTTGCTACCTCTTCCACTACGGGATTTGAATCGACAGCTGCATCTCTATGCTAATGTGGTGTGGCAACTCGAACTGATGTACGTACGTACGAAGTTCTACGTTGTTATTGACTGACTGACTGACGTGTATTATGGCGTATATAAGGGAACAGAACGATACCGGCGTAATTAAATAGAATGACTGAATAGCTAATGCATCGTAATAATTGTAGTACCAACAGTATTTTTTAAAGACGAAAAGACTGTGCATACAGAACACCTTTTACAAAAAATAATGATCAGAACGAACAAGCATAAATGCTTTGAAGCCAATGAGACCGATTTCAAACTATAACTTTAAGCCTCCAACTATTAGTCTCGATTATCACACAGATCTCAAGCAGGTACTCTATAACTACCACCATGGCTGGGACTAACAGTCAATGACTTCATGAAATGATATCTCCTTTCGGCTTATACCCTATCTCGCTCGATCTTGTTTCAACCAACTCCTTCGTATATTTTATTTTACATTAAAATTTGCAATATGTTAAGCTAAATACCTATATGATTAAATGTTTAACTGTTTGATGTATAAGTCAGTAAAAATTTTGATAAATCTAACTTTCATTGCAATAGATACTTCAGGATTTAAAAAGTAAAAATTCGTCATCCTGTTGCATTCATTATTATTATTACATGTAAACTTGATTAAATTTTTGTTTAGTTGGACACAAGCGTCTACATCATCATGGGAATCCTACAACTCCTTCCAGTGGAAGTTTCAATGTGGAATTGTCTACAGCTAACTCGTTCATTGTCCCCGGTGGTGGTATTCGACGGCGATCAAATCTTGGTCTAATTTCTTCATCAATTAATCCAAAAAAGATTTATGAAAGTTGGCTGATGACTTTACGGATTCGTACGTATTTCGCTAATTTAAGAGTTGTCCAAGATCCGGAATTATTGTCTCAATTATCCTCACGCATTGAACCTAGTGGTAAAGACTCAAGAACTGTCCAACCCGCTGTTGTATCTTCAGTAGGCAATGCTGGTACCACTGCTACCAACAATAATAACAGTTCTGCTAATGAAGGAAATGATCCACAGCAGTTATATACATCCAATTTCCCATCCTCCAACAATAATACAAAATTAAAAGGTAGCGATTCTTTTGAAAAACTATGGATAAGTATTAGTGAATATTTGTTATTTTGTGTCCTTTTCAATTCATGGATTATCTGTTCTCTCGCAACCTGTGTATTTAAAAAATATATTTGTGACGGTTACTGAACAATTTACTTGGGAAAGTATAGGATTTTATGAAAATTCTGCAGTGTGATTGATGTATCAAATACTGTTTCGTATAGTTGACTTTGAGTTAGAATTTTTGCGTGTGAGCTATTGAAAGTACCTGGCTTCTCGAAATAAAGTGAATGAAGCTGGACCAAAATGAACTGAACTGCCTGCATATTTAATTATATTGATATCAGATTGAAATAATGTGATATATGAAACAGGCCCTCACCTCAAAATTAAACTCAGTTATCAGTTAAGACACAAAAGCTCGAAACGTGTGAACTCTACATATAAACAAGCCAAAATTCAGTTCTAAAAAATAGACAGTGCCCTACGCTAGTATCGGTGTTCATTAAATTGCCCCCCCCCAAAAAAAAACATGTCAAAAGTTAACTAAATTCGGAAATATCAACCGTTCAATCTAAATCTGTAACCGATGATACAAGGGTTTTGTCGAGACTGTTCTAATTTCTAGATGGTTTCTGTCACGGATTAATATCACTTAACGTACCATTGAAAACTAGAGAGCACTGAACAGTCATTTTTTGCTGCGATACCCAAAAGTACTGAGTTTAATCTCTGATGTGGTTGTGGGTGCTCACTTACAAAAAGTCTCGTGATAGAGCGATACATTTGTTCAGTGCTCCTTGGTTTTAAAAATTACCCCAAGTGTGATCAATCGACTGTGAATATCACCCACAAACTAGAGATTTTTTGAATATGTATTTCCAAGCACCGCTGTCTAGGATAGTGCAAAACAATCGTAGCTTGTTGATTAGGTCATCCGGCTCTTAATCATTAGATTGCAGATTAAAACTATTCTCTTTCTACCTTGATTTATCCAATCGAATAATATCACCAGCTCTTTCACAATGGTAAGCGGCCGTCAAAGGTAGTGACTAACACTTTAACCAGTATATTCAGTAAATGAATTGCTACATTATTAATTTAGTCATTTGAACTGATAGACATTTGTACTAAATCCTGTGTTGATGATAGCTAGTTGACTGACTTGTGACAATTCATGTGTTTTTTTCAAATAACACCAGTTTTCGAACAAGAGTTTCACAAACACATATTTGTTAACTATGATTTTATTCTATCCATGTATACGTGCAATTGATAATCATCTTCACAAAAAATATGCTACGTATTTATTTACTATATAGAAATGGCATTTTTCGCATTTATCACTTGTATGTGAAGTGAATAAATGATATATGGGAGTGTGTGTAAATAAACACATCTTTTTTTAATATTATACTTGAGTCAGTGTGGACAGTAGGAAATAAATTCTATCCAGTTGTAGGTGGATAACACTTAATCTAGAACTTAAAGTTCATGTCGTTTTTTTCGAATGAGTTATAAATCATCGTTCATTACATTCTTCTCCTTCCTTCCTTTTGTTGACTATACACAGTCAGTCAGCTACAACGTAAGACCAGGCACATATGTGCATCGGTCCAAGTTGACATACCTCATTAGCACAACAAGATAAACACTGGATTCATAGAAGTAGTTAATTCAGTGTTGGTAATGTGTAAAAGAAAGATCGCATATAAGGACATAGTACAGGAAGAAAGAAAGATATGAAGCGATTTTAATCTCATAGTTTAAGGGAAGACAAAGACTTCAAGCACTGATGCCACGTTTTGGTTTGGCCGCCCCTAACTTTCTTCCAACCATCCCCAACACTAGTCAGCATTGCGCGTCGTGGTCCAACAGCACTCAAGACCACTGTTGACTATACACAAGCTATGTAAAAAATTCCCTTCAACTTCTGGATTCCGATACATTGAATGTCCAGTCCAGTTGGTTAACTTATCATGTGAATATCTATTAGTTGTTGCTCAAATATGTCTATTCAGCTGCAACATGAGTGTTTTAATGAGTTTCGAGTTATGGACAAATCTTTAATCAACATATTTTATGTAGTCTATATGTATTGTAATGATGAAATTTCGTTCTGTGATATGTTTTGTATGTGGTTTTGTTGTTATCCGGATCAGTTATCAAGCAACATAAAACTTTTATGCGAACAAATCAGGCTTATGTATAGATTAGTCTTGATTAAGTAAACTAAATTGTTATTACATTAGATAAGTGACTAAAACTGAGTGAAATTTAGTATGTATTTACAAAACATAACAAACAGTTGTTTCCATGGTCACCAGGTTTGCACACACCAGTTGTATGGAAAATTTGATGGTCAAATATTTGACTTACTCTTTCATCGGTTTCCAACCATACCCCACCTATTTCGGTTGGGAAAATTGAATAATATCCCTAACTTAAGCACTATACATCGTATTCAAGTCCAATTTCACACTTCTTAGATTGTTATGGTTATCAGTTAAGCGATCGCCGGATCCAATTTTCTCACTTACTAATTAGGTTTCTTAGTTGATTTGAGTGAAAACCCAATGGTTCTAAGAGTAACTTAGATCTTATTTCAGGTACAGTCGTTGTTCCCCGTGAAAACTTTAATGTTTCACATGGATAGAAAAAAGCATGAATGATTTGTAGGTTAGTGGATAGCGCGTTGGGGTTTCATTTGATAAGTATCTGGATTCAAGTTTCAGCGTGGAACGCCAACACTGAGATGTGGTACATCTCAGATAGGATAATTTGCGCGTTTTGTGTTCCGCTGCCTGATATAATACTGGTATGCTAGAAAACATGTGATCAAAAGAGAATATCTAGTCATCCTCTTAGGTTGGATGTATCCCTACAGTGACTTGCCAATTTTAGCTCCTAATATCAACAAGAGGGAGATGCAAACATTTACAAACAAACTTACAATGTTTAGTTCGAACATAGTTTTAGTAGTGGACTGGCATCAACTAAATTATCACCAAAAGAATATCCCTAGAAATATCTGAAATTTCACCGATAGATCTTATTTTCAAAAAGTGACCAAATCTTTATATGACTAAAAAGAAAACAAATAAGTACTGGATAGCTGTTCCATTATCTTAATTCGAGGTTCTTCAGCTTTCCACTATCATAGTAGGAACCATCTAAAATAAAGTCAGTCTATTTTTCTTTTCTAGTAAACTTATTTATTTATTGGGACTTTTTTTACTCTTTTATTGTAGGCATAAAGCTGTCTCTCACAAAAACTTCTGCACAGTCTGTTATAGTCGAATCGAATACAAACAAAAAGTCTCCACTTAAAGTTATCAACGTATCGACAGAATCTCCATATGTACCATCAGCAACAGTAGCAGCATCAATCACATCTCATCCAACGTCTACGGATCCAAAAGATATGTTTACCCGACCATTACTAGGCGCACAATCTGTTGAAGATGCTCGCAAACTATTAGCCCTAAGTGTAGGTGGTAAACGTTCTTCCCAGAGACGTTTACCAGTGTTCACTTTCCCGAATCACTTTCATTACAATAATACTCATAATGTCGCTCAGTCTTTGTTCATTACATCACCAGTTCGACCATATGCTGGTATTGGATTTGGACACCTGAAATCGCAACATTATAACAATTCTAATGTATCATCTTCTATAGGATCATCTTATCAAGTAAATAATAATACTATCATACAAATGCCAAATAACAGCACACCGAAATTATCATCCACCTCTAATGCTACCATTTCCACATGTTCTAATCATTTACACCATCATTATCATTATAGTAATACTCACCTTATATGTCCACAACCGACTCGATGTTATTCCACTCCTACCGGTACAACAGGCAGTAAAAGTCTCCTGTTGGATAATCTTATCCCAATACCATCTCGTATAGCTACTAATATGAACGATAGTGGGAATAGTAATTCTATATCGAATCAAATGTATGCTATGCTACCAAATCAAAGAGATCCTTATCATCTGCATCAGCACCAGCATTCTTTAACTCATCACCAACAGGCATCAGCATCTCCACCTCATAATCGAGGCCAAGCAACTATGAAACATCAATATTTTAGTCAGGCAACAAATCAGAATACAAATTATCAATGCCAAGTATGATTGAGTGTTGTTTTTACACCTTCATAATTATCTGTTTTATCCCTATATCATTCTCATGTAAAGACAATTAGTAAATTTTTTGCCAAGGTATACTTTAACTAGTCGCTAACAACAGGTTGAATTAAACTGTTGTATTTGAGGTCGTAGTTAATGTTCATGCGTTTACATTGCAATCATAATCTTCATCTCGCATGTAAATGTGGTTACACCACAAATCTCACCGTCGTTGGAGTACTAATATTGTATGATATGTGTATCACAAGATCTCAGATTTAAGTTCGTTTTCAATCACCCTGGAAAGTCGTACTAGTAGCATTCGAGTGCTCAATTCAACTGAACATGTAAAAGCCTAAGTACAATAAAAATATATCTTTAACTTTTTAAAATAAAACATACATAACTGCTATGTCACACGTAGTCTGTCCAGTATACACGCTAACTGAGCTAACAACTTTGTTAGCTATAGGCTATCACCTATTTATTGGTGAAAACACTGAACATGTACAGTCTCGTTCTTCCCAATCTTCAGTTCACTGTCCTCATTATTACTAATGAACTGAGTTCTTGAAAATCGTTTGTGTACACAATTCTAACAAAACATTTGGGGTTGAGAAACTACTTACGTGCAAAAATCGTTCCGAAACTGATGACACCTGAATAAAAAGCTAACAAAAACTGAATCAGGATTTTATAGGTACGAAATCTATTCGAAATCATAGACCAACAAATGAAAGATAAAACGCGAAACGCCAAGGCAGCTGACGTGTCTAACTTCTGGAGGCCAGTGATGACTTTTACGGATGAAACAAGCGTATAACCACAATTAAGGATTACTTTGAAAGGAGTAAGATTCGTGCACCTTAAATTTTGCAGACTAAACGTTTTGTGACCTCAGTCCTTGTACTTTATATATATATATATATATATAATCTCATTTTGTTTTACAGCAGCAACAACCAAACCCTCAGTCTCTATCGAACTCCATTGGATCTCGTCTAACACTGAATTCTAACACTGCTACAGTGCTATATCCATCTTGTCCCGGTATCTCATTACAGCAACAGATGACTTGCCCACATCGGTCTACTCATTTATCTGGTGGAAGTGCCTATCCCTCAAATCAGCAACAACAACAGGCAACAGTACAATCAGGTCGCTTTAGAGAACAGTCATCGTTGCAACAGCATTCAGTTTCATTCAATTTCGATGAGAACTATTTATATCCTACTGCAAATACACTTCCACTTGGTGGTTCAATGCTGTCTATACCTCGTAATTATCGACAGTCTATAATACGAAGAATAATTCCACAATGTAAGTTTTCCATATTTGATTTGATGGCATTTTCAGATTCACACGAAAATCATTCACTCCCATTACGAGCCAGTTAATGGTGTCTAAATGATCATTTAAATGGTCATAAACAGCTATCAGAATTTTCATATCTAAGCTTCACTTTCTTTGGAGCTCATGATAAACATTTACTGCACGGCCATTTTTGTTTTTTTCGAGTGAAATTTTTTTTCATCCCTTTTGAAAAAATTTTTCATCCCCATCTTCCAATAATTTTCATTCTGTTTCGTCCAATCAAATGACTAGTTTTGAGTTCGTTATAATTGGTCGTTTATTCCTTAAAATCGATATAAAGTGTCAGGACTTGACAGAGCACATTTTCCTACAATTATGGACGGTAGTAACATGCAAAGTGCGAGCTCCGTCGTTCATCACGTTGTCACAGAAACCGATAACCTATTATTGAGCACATTGTATCTCGTAGTGTTCCAATCTCTTGAAGCGTTGAAGAGCGCCATTAGAACGTATGAAAGAGCCACGTACAGCTATTATGTGGTGAGGGATTCTCATTTACATAGAAATCGGAAGTCGTATATTAGATTCGTATGTTGGAGAAATGGCCGTAGAACATCTAGCGGTTCCTCACAGCCAAGTAGACGAACAAGGTAATTTGATTAGTGTTGTTATAATTTTTCATAAAGGACTTTCATGAACACTCCATGTCCTTCCTCCATATTCTGTAAGTTACCGACTATCAAAATAACGTCAATATGGATGCAAAGTTAAGCAATGACGAGAAAGAAATCGTTTTGATTAGCTCAGAGGAGTTCACTGAACGAGAGGAAGACAATGACGAAGACGCGTATGACAACAGACTTTATGATATTTGCAATCTTGTGCAACCGCCACATGAAACTGCTGATGGAAGTACCTGGATTTTTTGTCCATGCGAAGCAATGCTTCATTTATTTTGTGCTTACGACCCATCACCACACGTCCATGGAATCCACTGTCCCATGTACGGAGCTATAATGGAATAATAGCAACGCCTTTATTCATGAAACTCGGAACTGTTAAGAGAACGAGTAAAGGCCCTTTTCAGGGCCACTCACAGTTTGATTTAAATTCTTTTGTTTCAATTCCTTATTTCCATAGCAAAGGTTAAGTGATCAAACCATGAAAATTCATTTAAGAATAATAGTCATTATGTGATTAGCGCCTACGTATTCGTAAACGCTTTGTAAGCTTTATCAAGTATACGGTTTAAGTAAACGATTTCGTATAGAAAATGTCATCTAATGAACACTAAACTGTATAACAATAGTACATGAAAAACTTATTTAGAATGTTTCAGTGTTTTGTCGTAAAGTTACTATAGGCGAATGTAGTACTACCAGTTTACTAGTACAACGACATCATTTCTATAGGAAAGGTCAACTGGACCAACATCGATGAATTCTAATTAAGCCTTAGTGATTAAGCAATATAATCAATTGAGATTTATAGAAATTTCGTGGATTAGATCATTAAAAGAGAATTTTGGAAAAAACCTATAACTGGTTTTAATAGTTGGTGATAGTAATAACTGACGTTGAAAGGTGGTCAAATGTTCCTCGTCATTGCTTAACGTTGCATCCATATTGACGTTATTTTGATAGTCGGTAACTTACAGAATATGGAGGAAGGACATGGAGTGTTCATGAAAGTCCTTTATGAAAAATTATAACAACACTAATCAAATTACCTTGTTCGTCTACTTGGCTGTGAGGAACCGCTAGATGTTCTACGGCCATTTCTCCAACATACGAATCTAATATACGACTTCCGATTTCTATGTAAATGAGAATCCCTCACCACATAATAGCTGTACGTGGCTCTTTCATACGTTCTAATGGCGCTCTTCAACGCTTCAAGAGATTGGAACACTACGAGATACAATGTGCTCAATAATAGGTTATCGGTTTCTGTGACAACGTGATGAACGACGGAGCTCGCACTTTGCATGTTACTACCGTCCATAATTGTAGGAAAATGTGCTCTGTCAAGTCCTGACACTTTATATCGATTTTAAGGAATAAACGACCAATTATAACGAACTCAAAACTAGTCATCTGATTGGACGAAACAGAATGAAAATTATTGGAAGATGGGGATGAAAAATTTTTTCAAAAGGGATGAAAAAAAATTTCACTCGAAAAAAACAAAAATGGCCGTGCAGTAAATGTTTACCCTCGAAGTTGAATCTTCGTCTGAATTGTTGAAGCCATAACTATAACCTGTGAACATAGGTATGGCTTCAACAATTCAGACGAAAATTCAACCTCGAGTGCTAATTTGTTTAATTTGTTATGGGCAGGAAAATAATAGCAATGTTCTAATTAAAGAACAAGGTATAACTTTAAATGTTATTATGTGCGCACACATACACACATTGAATGTCTGAATTGCACTTCACTTTTAATTTGTATATTGTACATGTTAGTGTTGGTTACTAACATGAAGAATGCCGTATATTATGATAGATAGGGGGGAGGGGACAAAAATATTTCAAAAGAATGTTTATCAAAGATTTGCTTTATAAACTTAAAGTTTATAAGTAAAGATGGATAGTGGCTAGCAGTGGAATTCCGGACGCGCGTTTCGTCCTGTTTGTGACTCGTCAGCTGAATGTGTCTGCACCCTAGAATTGATGTCCACTCCGAGACTCGAGCCCATTACTGTCCGCTTCAAACGCCATCGCGTTATCCACTTAGCTATTGAGTCCTAATAGCCACCTTCTTGTGCAATGGGGTGTAGTTCAAATTCACTAGATGTTGTTTGTTTGCATCTTCCCATCGTTGTCTAGGACTGCAATCCTCACAGGATGCACATATGCCAACAACAGACTGATCAGTTGTAGTCTTAGACAACAATGGGAAGATACAAGCAAACAACACCTAGTGAATTTAAACTTAAAATTTATTTGTTCGTGACTGTGATCATAAACCAAGCACATTGATGGATTATTTAAATCCAATCAAGTAATTTTTGGCTTTTTAGTCTTTTTGTCACACACAAGTCACTGTATCTTTTGTTCTAATAACTAAATTACTGATTTTCATAAATAACAAAACTGTTTAGATGCCATATTTTTTAAAATATGCATAACTATTGTTTGTTTACTTCGATTACAATAACATTACTGTCTATCATTTTTTTCTAGAATTTTCTACGTTTTCTAATTATTAGGTAACAAACCATAAAGCTTTAGCTCTTAATACACATTATATAAGAAAGTCCAAAGTTCTTAGAGTAATGTAAATATTTGCTTTGATGATCATCTGTATGCAAATCACTAACCAGGTTTATACACTTAGCATTTGAACAATATACTGTTCGTGTCTGTGTATGTGTGTATTGCACCTTGAGATGATAACTGATATCACTTTATGAATTCGCCATTCAGAACTCTGATTAGGATTTCTCTATTTCGTGTCTGCTCTCTTACCCAAAGCCTAACACCCTAGGTGTAACCAATTATACATCCTGGTCTGTACAATTAACCTTCAACTATCACAAGCTGCATTCTTTTGGATCCACCTTTCCCCAAGCCTTGAATTTGAAGAGACGTTTTCAGCCAAGCGTCTATTATTATCTGTTCTAATCACCCAGCCCAATGAGCAAGCAAAGCAAACAACTATCTCTAACACTCATTAGATCATTTACATAAATCATCAAACCGCACAGGACACGAGTGACAGAGAGTGAAGTAAACAGCACATAATCAAGCAACAATCATTGAGGAATAATAACAAAACGTATGACAACAGTTAATAAGTTAACTGAAAGCTTAAAACTAGGAGAATGTAGAAATACAGTGGTATAGTTACCTACTAATTACACAATAAGAAAAAAGAAAAATAATCTACAAAATGGTTCCAAAAGTCCTACCTTTTTCAATAACCGTCCCGTCAGAATAATATGTGTGTAGAAAACCGCTATAACGGTACCAACCCCCAGTTACCCAAACCAAATTATACGAGTTTCTCTGAAGTCTATCATTTACTGATGAGTAACTTACATTAGTGATTGCTATGTAATTATGTCCTCTCTAAAAATTATCTCTGTAACTAATCTTCCAAATATCAAATCATACTTTCCTTATTTTTATCTAATACTCACACTTTTAAGACGATAGAGAATATCTGTAACTCAAGACGAGAAATTTGAAAATGTTTTTACTTTTTTTCTTGTTCTCTTCCTTATTACCTTATCCTTCATTCATCGCTCTTTCACAATTCAATAGACTTAAATTGCACGCCGACTCGGCCACCACCATATGAAATAGCTTTGGCTTTAAAATATCCTCAAAATGCCAATTCACAACGAGTATATCAATCACTGGAAAATGACACGATTAATACACGACATGAAAATAATAACAATAGTATTAATAATAATAATAATTACCATATAGCAAGTAATTTATCATCTGGCATTAAACATGGAACAGGTAAATTTTGTAATTATAAATTATTATTGTTTTCGAGTTTTTGTGTAAGTAGATAATCTTACCAATCATATTTCCTTATCTTGTCTTTAAATTACCAACGTTAAGCTTTAAAACTGGATGATTGGCTAGTTGGTCAATGTATGCGTCAATATGTAGCCAGATTATTATAGAAAATAAAAATCTTCATAGTTGGTATGTGTCTGATCACTTCACTAAAATCTGGCTTATAAAAATTTGTAGATGAATTGATGATGTTATCCAATTAATTCTACGTTGACCTAAACAATTCACTTAATGTTTAATAGATTACATTACTCTGGCTACCAACGACATGACACCTATCCTAGAGTTTCAGTTTAATGGTGTCCAGAACAGGTCACTTTTGACAAAAGGAGACTTCAAGTATTCAGTAGTTACTACATCTTTTGCCCCTTACACATAAATATGGTGTCAGATGAGTGAAATATTGTTATGGGTACAATTTCAGGTAAGTTGGATGAGTCAGTCAGTCATCTACAACGTAGTACCCGACAGTTTCTGCTACTTTAACCGACCGGACTATACAGTCTGGAACAAACGTCGTTCAAAGTCCTACCATGCCAGACAGGTCGATTGAAGAGCGGTAAGACTAAAAGCAGCAAACCCAAGGTCCGAGGGCGGAGTTTTACTGCTGACTGTACAGAGGTATGACGGCATTAAGGTGTTTCCTTCAGACAATCAGCATAGCAAAGATGCTTCCTTCCCATTAGGAGGGGTGGGGTTAGAAAAGGTCGACCTTAAAAGTGCACATCTCGCCTTATCTCACGGATTTCCGTCTCCGGCAGAGCTAACACGAAAATTGTCCACAAAAAGGACATGTGTGACCGATCTCAAACAGTTGTCCTTTAGGCACTACAGTCATCCTCTCAGGTCACCAATACCACCCCTAACCCAATTTCCTTTCCAGGCATCGCCAGTAGAACCCTTCAACGGTGTGGGCAACCGGGAAGTGATAACCGCCCTCATACCTCTAATAGCACTCGAGACCACTGTACCCCTATTATTCCTCCTACCTCGACCTCCAACTCTAAACTTGATTATAGCCAGATACGATACCCAGTCACTCATTAGCTGTTGTTTTGACGACTTAGATTAAATTTAATAGTTGAATTCATGAGTCGATTTAAACTAGACCACCATGGAAAACTAGAAGTATTAGACGACCGTTCTATCCTAGTGTGGGACTCTTCGACCTCGCGTGCGAACATTTAACCTCTAACCCACTGAGCCGGCATCCAACGGTGTTAATGTCTAACTTCAACCAATTCACGATATTGCGCGATCATTCACCATTGTCTCCAGTGAATAATTGCCTCACAACAAACCCGGTTGAACTCCACTGGCCACTGCTTCTCACTAGAACTCCAGGAAATACATTTTGAAGGCAGTCACTAGTGAGCACATGATGATTATCAAAATGGGAGGTCTGTGGAGACTGTAGTAATTTACTATTTGAATTCATGAGTCGATTTAAGTTAGACCACCATGGAATCATATGAAAAACAGTGGATTTTCATCTATGATGTACATAGTTTCAAATTTGATAGTTTTTTAACTGTCTGACTCACTGTAGGTGACATAATAGGATGATTGAAATATATTTGATCTTTCTGTAAATTTTGAATGCCCCACTTATTTCCCATTTCTTATATCATTTTTAGTTGATTATAATAACTTTAACTGTCTTATTCATTGAATTTGACAGACTGTAATAAATTTAAATGTGATATCATACCTTATTTATTTTCTTAAATATCATTTTACTTAGTGAATTACTGACATTCTGCATCATTCAGAGCATTTTCAGTTAAAGCCTTAAAAATCAAATTTGTCTGGTTATGCGAATATTTTACTTACTTTTTTCTTATTGTATTCTTTCATATTAAACACTCAATTTTAAATCTACCAAATAGAATTACCGAACGCTATCCCACTTACTTCATTCTGAGCAGCTATGAAATATCTTTGGGCGTTATACAGTTCTATGTGACTCAAAACTAGGCGAATGCGGACTTATTGTTTCAGTAACGCTATTGAAATAATTTTATACTTGATAATTTCAGGTAACTTAAAGCGATATATATAGCTTAGTATGTAGAAAGTATATAATTCTATAAGAACACCTAAAATGGTACTGAACAGGAATTGACATATATTGTATTTTATAAACTCCAGTAATCAATAATTTTTCTAAAGAAGGCTGAATTCACACTACCTTTTTAATTTGAACGCTTCAGTTCTCTGAGCTTAACTCTTTCGAACACGTCACAGATGAGTGAAATATCCCCTTAGTGCTTTAATCACTCTTTTATGGTTACTATAACTTTGAGATCTTCATAGTGAGTTTTAGAACTATTCACATATCTTTTCCAACCTTATAACTTGAATGTGCAAGATTCTACTTTGCACTCCTATGACTTAACTTCTTTAAGTTTGGCACATTGAACTGCTTTTTGTTTGTGTATATTGTTGTTACTAACTGAATAGGACTGCTTTCATTCAGCTCTTTAGCACATTTGATTAAACCTTGAGAACCATGAGACCTGCCAAATACTATGTAAGGTTGAAACTTAATCCAAGTTCTAGTTGTCATTTGGTTCCTGGCTACACTGTCAGTATTACGTCGTTCTTACTATCATCTTTCTCTCCCATATCTACTTATTTTGTCAGGACACACACTTCACAATAAAATTATAATTTGCGAATCATAAAAACCATGCATCATTCCAAAGTAAATATGACTTTTCTTCTAGTTTTATGGTGAAATGTTTTATTTTGGATTTGATTACACTGTGTGATCAGGATTACATTTCCACGTTCTGAAAAATGATTAGATTCATCCAGCTTATTATGTAACGCATGCTTCGTTATTTCTCCTGGTTTTCGGTTTTTGTTTTTTGTTCGTTTCTCTCATCTCTTTCAAGTTGGTCGTGTTCCATTGGCACAAACTCACACACAAATTCAAAATTCAAAGTCAGATAAACAATTTTTTACTGTTAAGCAGTTACCGGATAAAAATTCACAAAATCCTATAAATTATGTCTCATCTACAACAACATCGACAACAGCAACTTCAACGATTGTGTCTTCACGTTCAGAATTCAGTAACAACAGTAATAATAGTAATAATAATCTGCAATATAGATCATCTGAGCGGAATAAATCCTCTACAGTGTGTCAGTCATTCCAGCAGTGTATACAAGAACGACCTTCTCCGCCATCTTATCAGCAGGTAAGATGGAATTCATCTTATTTATTTGTTGTATAGTTGAGTGTTACTTTCTAAAGTTTTTTTCATCATGTGAAATGGTTGGTTAGGTCAGTCAGTCAGTCAATCACAGCTTAGAACCTGGTACGTGTTTACATCGGCTCAAGTTACCATACTCCATTAGAATGGCGAGATTAAATCGTCAGGCCAAATCCCAGAATAACAGAAGTGGTAACATTATCAGTGGTGATTGAAAATGTTAAGCATCGGAGATTGTGATTCAAGTAAATTTAAATTATTGAAATGGAAACACAAGAAAAGTTATGAGGAATTTAGAGGCTCATAATTTGGAGGAAGACAAAGAATAGATACACCTGCGCCATTGCAGATGATTTTGAGTCATGTCACTGAAAGTCTCTAACCGTTGGTTACGTTAATCATGCAGACGCCAACCAAGTAGTCTACTCTCGATTGACGTGGTTCAGTCCAGTCGTCGATAACTTCATGGACTGGTGTCATGTTTTGGTCTGGCCGCCTCTAGCTTTCTTCCAGCTTAGTTCTACACAGACAACATCTCTCATCGAGGTAGGCGGTGGTTGATGAAGATTTACTACTTCATCAGTCGGTTTTCCATTCTTACCTAGTACCCTATTCCTGACCCAGGCACCGCTTACTCTGTGTGCCAAACATACACGAGCGATGCTTCGAAGACACTGACGATTGAATACCAGTAGTAACTTACAAATATTCTTTACTTTTAGTAGCCAGGTTTCACAGTCATAAGTTAGAAGTCCACTGAACTTTTAGAATTTGTGCCAAGACTTTGTCGGATACCAACCTGTCAGGATTGATTAGGATGTAAAAATAATCGGAGGTCGATGTGCTGAACTACTTCACTCCCTATTCTTAGTTCAGGCGTCAACACAGACCAGTCCTATAGTAACGTTTTGCATTTCGGTTGAGAGGACCGCATCCAGAACATGCTTGGATTGTTGCTTAAAGTGGCCAGCGTCTTCACCAAAAAGAACTGTGTATTTGCGTATTCCAAGTCAACAAGTGAATCTCCTGGTAGAAAATCAACCTCTGGAAAGTTAGACGATGAAAGTGCTATCTCTAAAAGCATGTCTATGACAAAGCTAAATAAGAATGGGAAAAGCGGACAACCCTGAAGAACACTCTAAGTAATCGATTCTGATGAAAGTTGTCTATAAGTTTTGATTCGTCCATTAGTGTTCGAGTGGTGAGCCTGTACAGGGTTAATACACTCCTTTGATATGCATTTTGATGACAGACACTGCCGTCGAACCTTACGACCAACAGAGCCGGACGCTGCCTTGATGTCAAGGAATACAACTATAGTCGGACCTCAAAAATATGTCTACGTTCTGGAACCTGCCGAATGGTGAATATTTGGTCTATGCATCCACGTGCAGGTATGAAACCAGTCTGATTTTCTCGGGTTCTCTCTTCACGAGCTCTACCTAATATTTGTAACACTTTGGTAGTTGAGATGGTGGAGAAGTTTTGTAGCTCAGGTGGATGATTTTGATGGAGTTTTGTTCTCTGAGCTGGATGGTTTGGTCGCGGAGCTTTCACCGTTGATTGCTGATTGACCTGAGTGCCAGGCTTCGACAAGCACATTTAAATCGATCCAATTGGTCAACCAATCAGGAAAATTATGCACAAACATAGGAACAAAAATCAAATCAATGGGAGACAACCAAAAAAGCAAACAATGACAAATTTAAGATCAATAAGAACCAATCATCATCGAGGTGTACGGGACAAGCTTTGAAACACATATGGAGAAATTCGAACACTTCACTTCTATCTGAAGTTTGTGCTAATGATGTCGTTCAGAAGAACGGTGAAAGCTCCACGACCAAACCATCCAGCTCAGAGAACAAAACTCCGTCAAAAACTTTGGTAGTAAAACTAATTGCCCTGTGATTGTCACAAGAGGACCTTGGTTCTTTCTTATAAACTGGGACGATCAGCTAATGTAACTGCTAAAGCTGCACCACATTCTTTAAAGATTTTTGGGCTAATCCATCCATTGAAGTTCAGGGATAACTCTCTTCCAATATGACTGAACATCTCCAGATGCAAAGTCTCACTGAGCCTTTAGAAATCCATTCAGTTATTATCACCAACGTAAAGCCTGTATCGTTCCTAGATTTTATATAACAGCGAAACGAATAATTCCAGTAGCAAATTAGTAGTGATATTGGTGGTGTTTTGTTCTCTGAGCTGGATGGTTTGGTCGTGGAGCTTTCATCGTTCTTCTGAACGACATCATCAGCACAAACTTCAGATAGAAGTGAAGTGTTCGAATTTCTCCATATGTGTTTCATAGCTTGTTCTGTGCACCTCGATGTTGATTGGTTCTTGTTGACCTTAAATTTATCATTGTTTACTTCTTTGTTTTGGTTGTGTCTCCCATTGGTTTGATTTTTGTTCCTATATTTATGCATGATTTTCCTGATTGGTTGATAAATTGGATTGATTTCAATATGTTTGTTGATTGCTGATTGACCTGAGTGCCAATCTTCTAAAAATTCTCTGGTGTTTTTGGAGTTTCCTCTATCTAAGATTTCTACATTTTCCCAATCGAATGAATGTCCGTAGTTATCCACGTGTATTGATATAAGTGAAGAGATATCATGTCGTTTGACTGCTAATTGGTGTTCATGTAGGCGTAGGTGGAGGGGGCGTCCGCTTTGTCCGATGTAGTGTTTGTCGCAGTTGGTACAATTTATTTTGTAGATGATGTTTGATTTGTTTTCCTTTGTTATTTCATCTTTTGGTTTGCATAGGATTGATTGTAATGATTTTGTTGGTTTGTGTGCCACACCTATCCCGAAGGTTTTCAGCAGTCTCGTTGTGGTTTCTGATATTCCTTGTATGTACGGTAGGGTGATCCTTTTGTTGATTTTTGTGTTTGATTTGGGTTCTGATGCTGTGTGCCGTTGGTGCTTTTTGATGAAGTAGTAGTGATAGTAATCTTATCAGAAGTAGTTAAAATGGTTCCCTCAGACAACCAGCATCTGAAACGATGTTACCTTCTCATTGTTGATAGAACGGGTTCGAGAAAGTGTACCATGAAAATGTCGCACCTCCAAGTTACAACACAGATTTACGTCCCGGCAGTAAGGCCAATAGAAGTGCAGAGCAAGCATATCAAACACTTCCCATAAAATGGTAATGCGTGATGGGCCTTGAAAAAGAAATATCCTCCCACAAAGTGGGCAGCCGGGAAGTAGCAAACTCCCTTACACCTCTATCAGTACCCAAGATCATCATATTCATGATTCAATCCCTCACTTACCTCTTAATAATTCCTTCATTTCAACGACCAATCCTTCTCACTTATCCTGATCACTGCGCGCCACCAACACTAATGATTTGAGTTCACGAAATGTCATTTCTGGTCTCCTGAAACCACTCCTTAAACTACATGTTGGAGCTTTTAATGCTGAAACCTTGTTTCAGATAGGACAAATTTCTTTATTTAGAACTGTAGAATCCCGCGCTATCGAAATGTGCATCCAGGATACAAGTAGTCATTCATTTGACCTCAACTTGTCTATATAAAGAACCGCAACGATTCACCTTTCGTGTAAATTCGGTAACTATCCGTCTGTTAAGTTTGTCTTACATTGTCCCTACATGTTCCTTTTCTACTCTTTTGTATGTTGTTTTATACTACTTATTTACATTAAGTAGGCAGCTGTATGCCCAACAATTTTCACACTTATGTTGTAACTCAAGTTGTACTGTAACATTCTGGAATTTTCACCTATATCTTTAACGTTTATTTTACTTATAATTGTATTTATCATTATAATCACTGTAATTTAATTACTGTAACGATTATCCACAGTTTGTGCATTTGTTTGAATGCAACAGTTTCCATATTGTTTGCTCTCGGTTCGAGTTTCGGTTGTTCATAAACTGTTACCAAATTTAGACACAGCTATCGGCTGTCTTTGGACTATCGAAGCTTTTGCTATTTTCATTCTTGAACGACGCGTTTAAACGCCTAGACACCTCACAAGTTGAGGTTTGTAACTAAATTTTGTGTATTATTTAATAAAGAACCGCTTTTGTAGACAAATCGTTGTTTTGGAACTTCGGTTTTGCGCGTATCTCAATCGGGGTTATTTGGACGCTTCGATAGAATTAACACCGTCATGAAACATTTATGCCAACATATTTCATCATAAACATTCCCAGATTATTGATCGTTACAAGACAATTTTTCCGTTTCTGAAGTTTTGTCTTAAATTATTCATATTGCAAAATTGTTCTCATTGTAAATTTCTTTCATATAATTCAAAATCACTTTATCAAGGTTTTATCCATGTCACGACAAGGAAATAATCAAGGGTCATTGAAAATTATCTCTGCTCAATCTCATCCACGTACAAATATTCATTCATCACATGGACGCCCACAACCTCCACAACGAACAATGGCTACATTATCTTCTAATTGTAATCATAACAACTATCGAGCCTCTTCATGTAGTCCTGGTATGACTATAGTTCGTCCAGTCGTAAATGATCTCAATACTGTTGAACCACGTAAGTTGTGTTTATGTGAAACTATAATCAGTGTACACTAGTTCATTTAATACAATTGTCATTATGTTATGAAATTCTATATTTGTCCTCCATTTATCACATATTGACAGATTCGGTGTTTCGGGTCAACAAATCAATGAGTCATTAGTTTGTTTGGTCGATAGACCCACAAATTAAGAAGTCGGTAACTCGATAAATCTACATCACCGTACATTGTTACATACCACAATACAATGATAGGAGAGGTAGACACAATGTAAATATGAACACCAATAGGAGTGAGAAAAAGGATAGAAAATTTGTAGTGAAGAAAGATTATTTCACTTTGTGTTGGTTGTTTGAATCTTCCCATGGACGTTTATGACTGCAATTAATCAATCTCTGATTGGCATATGTGCATCCTGCGCTGATTACCTCGATATTGCCTTAAGTCTCATGCATTATAAGAAGGATTGTTGGGAAATAAAATATTTAGTAAATAATTATTCAATAGTTGAATTCATGAGTTGATTAAAGCTAGACCACCTGGAAGCACTGGCCGGCCGTTTCGTCCTAGTATGGGACTCCACAGTAGTGCGCATCCACGATCCCGTTCGCGGGATTCTGACCGAGGACCTTCGGTCTCGCGCTCGAACACTTAACCTCTAGACCACTGAGTTGGCATCCAACGGTGTTAATGTCTAACTTCAACCAAATAATTGTTCCTACTTAGAATACTTGAAAAGAATGTGTCATTATGACTAACTTTTCAAGTCATATAATAATCGAATCTCAACAGAAATAAAAAGAATATGTGTTCAATGGAAACACATAAGTAAGGAAATGTTTTAAAATCCGAATGAATGGGTTTGAATCAGTGAGATCAGTTGTCTTTTTTAAATCTATCCCTCAACTAATATGATGGCTAGTATGTTAAGAAGTCTAAAAAAAGTGATAGTTTATAGTTCGTTAAGTGATTTAAATACGCAGCTTTGGCTAGTTTCTTGACTTCTTGAACTGATCCCATATTTATATCTCTTGTTGATCTCCACTTAAATTCTACTCAACTAGACAAGCACTTAATCCTCTCGATATGGATAACATTGAAAGGTGTCAAATGTGTTTAAAAACTCAAATATCTGTCTACTACGCTCTCATTTTCTTCAATAGTTTATTAATTTATTTCATTGATTTAAATTCTCCTCGAAGTAATTTTATGAATCCTAAATTAAGTAAGATTACATTTCTAATGAAAATATTGAGAGCGACCTATAATGATGATCGCTGTAATCAGTCAATAACTTTTCAATAATTACACAGAAAGTTGAGTGAATACAAATAATTTACAAGGTTTGGAACAAATATTTGTCCGTATTAGTCATGACATTGTAATATCTGGGCCAATAAAGAGTTGATATTCAGTTTATGATCCATTGTCTCTATCTTTTTCGTTATCATCATCGTCTTCAGAGGGTCGGTATTCATCAAAGCACACGTATCTGATAGATATTTTTTATAATATTCTTGTGTTTATTAGTCTACTTAGTTTCATTTTTGTTTGATTTGTTTTGCGTAAATTTTTTTTTTCAAATTTCTGTAGATCGCAAACATATTGGCAGGTTAGTTGATTGATCCACTTGAAACTAATCAAATGTTATAAATGTTCTCATTATGGCTATTTTTTTCTTCTTCTCCTCATCTCTCCTGTAAACTAACCATTAATCCTCTCCCTCTGTCTGCTTGTATAGATTTATGTGCGTTGTATGTTACCTAGCATTATCTGTAACTGTGCTCCTTTTTATAATATGGCAACTCTCATGTCAGCACTTAATTATTCACCCTGTATATGTGTACGTATCAGTGGTTATAAAGTATTTTTCTTTTGTTTGTCCCTTACCCCTACTAACTACGATCTGTACACATCACTTGTACCCATATATGTTCGAGGTAGTCGTTGGAATAATAATTTTTATTAATTGAATTGCATGTCATTTCAAGTGTCCGCGGTGTTGACTTCATTGCTTAATATTCTTCTAACTGTCATTCTTATAGTGTTTTTGTTTGTGGACACTGAGTTTTATTGTTTGTGTAAACATATTTCTAAGTTGACGAATTCACCGACCAGTCAATCATAAGTAATGTCGAACCTGACACGTATACATCGATCCAAGTTGCTACACCCTATTAGCACAGCGAGACGAAATTGTCAAGATAAATCCCAAAGTAGTACATATAGTAACAGCATTGACGGCGGTTGAAAAGATTTAGCATTTTAGATAGGATTTGGGAAAAGAATATGGACTAGTGGGATAAAAAATTCATAAGGTAATTTAGAAAGTTACAATTTAAGAGAAGACGAAGAGTGAATGTGCCTGCTTCATCACAAACCATTTTGATCCATGTCACCCAAAGTCTCTAACCATCGGTTACAATAATCACGTGGACGCTAACCAAGTAGTCTGTACCTACCCACATGGCTCAGTTCAATAGTCAACGTCTTCATGGACTGATCCCATGTCTTCGTTTGTCCCTATCCTACCTCTAACAACACTAGAGATCCTATTGTTCACTAATTCACCAATTGTGTGCTCGAAATCAGCCAGTCAGCTATAACGTAGGACCAGGCAAATATATGCATCGGTCCAAGTTGCCATACCGCATTAGCACAACAAGATGAACACCGGATTCATAGAAGTAGTTAATTCAATGATGGTAATATATCAAAGAAAGATTGCATATAAGGATATAGTACAGGAAGAAAGAATTAGTACGTAGACAGATATGTCGATCGTAAAAAGAGAGAGGATTAAGTGGGACACACTACAAATTAAGACCTGTATGTATCCATGATTTTTTTCTCAAATTGCTTACACGACTACCTTACTGAGAGATTACCAAAAACTACTAGCGTCTCCTCCGTTTTGTCAAACTGGTTTGCTGCGACAAGTGAAGTTCTATTAAGTTCAATAATAGGGACCTCTCTTTGTCCTCTTCACTAACAGATTAACGGGTACTCCTTCTCATCGATGTTTTTTACAAACATTTCCACGATTTAAAGATAATTCCAACTTATCAATAAAATGTAAAACTGTTGTATGGACACATTGAACAGCTATCGTCACCATTAGACCAATGGTGTTTGTGTGTGTATGTACTTATTCTCATTTATCTGTTTCGATATTTCCATTAAATTGAAAGCTATGTCATTGAGTTGAAATCCCTCATTTTTCTTATTTATGACACTTAGAAGTTTTGTCATAATAAATCACCAAAAATAATGTCCACACAAACCCCAGTGACTATTATTTTCACTTCCAATCAATTTATGATATTTCTCGACCATCATACCATGTCATCACGGATATAACTACTTTACTCTCTATAAATAATTGATTTCATAGTCCACGGTTACTTTCCACCATTAGAGCATTTAGTAATCCATTTCAAAATTAGTAAATACATGACTCTTGTGAAATTAGGCAAATAATATGAGTTATTCGACCTTATCTTTACATTACATTAGTCGATTAAGTGTTGAATCTAGCATACCAAGGTCAAAATCATTGAAACGTCGTATCCGATAATTAACATTAAACATCCTTCGCAATTCAAATAAAGTTGTATTTATATGGTGTTTCCGTGTATTTCAATGCCTATTTACTATGATAAACTTACAGGATTGCAATTGTATTTCACAAAATGTGTACTGTGAAAAAGTGGTACATGTAATATTAACAACTTCCAACTTCTAGTAAATTTATCAAATCGTGTAACATCACTGAAAGGATTAATTTAATAATAAGCACCAAACTAAGCGTTTAAAACAAACACAAGGACGAGACATATTCACACCCAATCCACGGAAGATCAGATGATTCAACTCTTTCTGTTTCAAATCATCTATTTTCCAGGTGTAGAACATAAGTCAAAAGTTTCATAAGAAATGGAAAAATTAAATATTGCATCAGCCATTCACAATGATAAAAACACACATACTAACTATAAGTACAACGGAGAGATGACAACAGAAAACAGAGGATACGGTTCATAAATCACAAGATCTATGCACACATGAACAAAGGAAGTAATAGAGGGACACGTCGCCAAACCATACTGAGCATATAATACCCTTCCTCTCGACGTCCGTGTATTATAACTTACTTACTCATGCCTGTTACCGTTGTGAACTTATAGGCCTCCGACTAAGAACCTCGGAGCAACTCTTTTTCAGGCTCCTCTTTCAGGTTGTCTCTAAGCGCTATTCACTCTCTTGATATCTACCTGCAAATTCCGGCATCATATGTCCTCTGGTATGCTTCTTTTCCTTTTCCTTCGAGGATTCCATATTGAGCCTTGCCCTTTGATGCAGTTTGATGGTTTCCTCAATGTGTATCCTACCCACCTCCAACATTGTTTCCTGATTTTCCTCTCAGTAGACATCTGAATTGTTCCCTATCACAGTCGATTATTGCTAACGGTTTCTGTCCAATGGATCTGTAGTATTTTGCATAGACACCTGCACCTTTTTGGCAATGATGGTAGTAGTTCTCCACACTCCAACTCCGCACAGTAGAACTGTTTAGACGTTGTTGTTGTTGTTGTTGAAATTATGACTTTGGTGTTGTGTGACAGATATTCAATTATAGGAACGTTCACTTGTTTTGGTAATTCATACCCTCATGTCTGCATCAGATGCTCCATATTCATCGAATATGCTGTTCAGGCACGTAAAGGCTTCCGCTTCTTCCAGAGCCTTACCACCAAATGTGATTTGATTGGTGCTCGCTGTGTTGTATTTCAGGATCTTGCTTTTCCCTTGTGAATGTTGAAGCCTACTGTTGTGGAAGTTACTGTCATACTGAATATCTTCACCTGCATTTGTTGCTGTCGATGGGATAGGAGGGTCAAGTCATCTCCAAAGTCCAAGTTGTCCAGCTCCACTCAAGTTGTTCACTGTATTCTGTGCTTCTGAGTTGTAGAGGTCTCAATAATTGAGTCTACAACCAGCAGAAAGAGAAAAGGCAAAGTAGGCAACCGTGTTTGATACCTGTAGATTTTAAGTCAATAAGTGAGTCTTCTGATAGGGATTCAAAATACATGAACTTCAGGTCTCGTAACAAGTGTTGACTTCAAAACTTTGGGTTGAAACTTAATGGTTCAGCCACATTTTTAACTTCAGTCACTTGATGATAAAGTTGAAATTGCAAATCAGACATGTAGAACTTCTTGGTTTCCAATAGTTTCTCATCTCATAGTTACATTGTAATAAAAGTTATCCTTAAATTTGAATATGTAAGATGAACTTAAAGAACTACAAATCTAATATGAAGTTTGCTTTATTGTCTACAAAATAAAACAAATTTTGCTTGTGGTTAAAAGTAGCAATGGAATTATTTGGGAAAGAAACCACTGTCACATAATACAGTTAATATATACAATAGACCCCCAACCCAACAATTCAGAGGGAACTACTAGTAACAAGAAGCAAAAAGTAAATGGAGAAAATACCATATACAATAAATAAATTCACAACTTACAAACTATGCATTTTTAGTCGACAAATTTCATTATTACCATTGTGATTATTCAATGTGATGTTTGATGATGGTGTAGATTTGTTCACGTGGTTTTTTACATCGTCAACAATTTGATAAGCATTTATTGTTTCACTGATCGGCCTCATCGAAGTTTGAGCAGTATGTGTCGTATTTAAAGAGTTAATAGCTTGATAATACTCTGTTCGAAAAAAAGTAGACGTAATAGAAAAGACATAATTAATTTCTATTGGACTATTTTCGTCTTTGGACGAGAATACAGCAGCACCTCTCCCGAAGTTACTCTTCTCTATATTGTATCCAATAGGTTTTGCCTATTATTATTATTATTATTATTATTATTATTATTATTATTATTATTATTATTACTATTACTATTATCATTATTATTATTATCAGTGACGTTGACAGCTACCTCAATAACACCAAGTAACTGAATTCGGAAATGTGTTCTGTTCGGCTGCGTCTCTCCAATATTCTAAACGTAAAGATCTCGCCTCGAGTCCCCTAACTTTTGTTTTTCGGATGACTGATTGATTAAGTCATAGATTCGCACTGCTGAGGAGTCCTAACGTTAGGTGAGATTTTTTTGAAGAAGGCCTTCATTTTCATATGTAACTAATCTCTACAATTTTCTCAATTATGGTACTTCTTTTTTGTCTTTTATTTTACAGATCGACCCAGAAGGCAACCTTTCATTAGTTGTTGGTTGTAAACAATATTTTTTTTTCAGGCAAATAAGAAAGTGACCCATCCTTATTTCATCATGACACTTTATTTTATCGTCATTCAGTTCACGTTCTTTTTCGTCCTGTTGTGTGCCTCTTGTTTGTTTGATAGTGCTCTCTGTTTTATATTTTTCTGTTTCTCTTTCAAACACACATATTTATTAATGTACACAAGTTTACTCGTTTTGTTTTTTTAATGTTAATTCATGTCTTATACACACATCATTATTTTCAATCTTTACTTTGTGGTGTAACTTTAGTTCTACCAGTATAATTACCCATGTATTAATGGTTTCATTACACGCACTTGACAGTCCTTTTTATTGTTTTTATTCGACGAAATTCCTGTTTGATTGTTTGGAAAATTGGTTTGTAATTATTTATTATTGTTGTTATCTTGTTTGTTGTTGTTATTGTTAAGTTTCTCGATAACAGTGAAGAAATCATCCATTTTCGTTGGATAAGCCATATCTACCTGCCGGTCTCTCTCCCTCAATTTTTGCTGTTGATCCGTTTTTTTCATTAGGGAGTTCAAAACAAGAAGACATCAACAGAGAACTGATAGTGTTCGTTATATAGTTTTATCCAATCTTGTTATTTTTCGTTTCACCTATGTGATCTGGCCTATTAATTTGCTATGATATTAAAAATTCTGTAGAAGACCGACTGATAAATATCCACTCATTATTACTGTAGTAATTATTATTATTATTTTCATCGTTGCTGTATATCCATATCCCAAAGATATTAGCTTCTGTAACCATTTCAATTGTCTTCAGTCTACTTCATTTAGTCACCTGTTTTCTCATTTAGTTCTGTATATCTCTTTAATAAATTTAGAAAAATCAGTGTTAGTTCATTTCTTCACAATGATTTCAGATCAACTCTTCGATCTGTGTAAAAAACACCCTAACTGTAAATTATGGAAGCACATTATGTATATACGTACAATTCACTTGTTACTGTTTGTATTCGTTACTAGTATTGTTTTTGTTTTTCAGAATTTTATTCATCGTAATTGTGCCTAGTTTACCAGTTATGTATTTCCTTTATATATATATCGGATTTGTATACTTCTATAAATTACTTAGTGTTTGGTTGGTTTTTGTTTATAAATAAACACTTGAATATACTTAGTTATTCATTTTATCTCTCCATGAAAAAAAATTTCAATTAAGATCATGAACCGATCGTCTTTATATGACCAACAAAAGCCTAGAAGCATTGGATGACCGTTTTGTCTTAGTATGGGACCCCTCAGCAATATGCATCCACGATCCCGTATGCGAAAATCGAACCTAGGACCTTCGGTCTCGCCCACGAACGCCTAATCTCCAGACAACTGAGCGGGAATACAACGGTGTTAATGTTCATGATCTCAATTATTTTGGGCTTTTACTAGCCCAGCATTTTCGAGAGTCTAGATATCAGTAACTTCAGTATTTTTGTCTTGAATCAGATTACTCATGAGTAGTCAATGTGAAATTACAAAACATTTGTGTGCCGGAAGTTTTTCTGCGTTGAACACTGCGTCCTACCACGCTTAGAAATTATTAACGAAGATGATATGAGATTCAACGCCATACCAGTGTAATGAAGTGTCTTATTGAATCTGATTAGTTATTGGGCATCACGGAGTATTATTTCACTATATTCTGAAACCAATTCTATTTATTCGTGAATTTTCTCACGATAGAATCCTGGACATATTTCATTGATTGGTATTTCCTACGATTGTACGTATTTTCAATGGGACAAACCTATGATTATTAAAATTGTCTAACCTTCTTCAAAAGTATTAATACCACAAAACTGAAGCATATGTTACGTATTATCACTAACATTTAAAGTGTCGTCTTCAAATTGTTCATTTTATTAATGTATAGTTGTCAGTTCCACACAATTCATTCGAAGTTGAGTAGTTAAAGGATTATATTGGCTTACATAAAGTTTTATATTCACCTAATGTTGGTTTAAATTACTGATGTGTGGGTGAGAATGATAATGATTGGTTGTCTGCTTAGTCAGATATGCAGATAGTCCGACAAGTGTTAGATGAGTTATATATTCCCCTATCATTATTATTTATTTATTTATTTATTATTATTATTATTATTATTATTATTATTATTATTATTATTATTATTATTATTATTATTATTATTATTATTGAATGTTCATTGTTGTTGGATTGTGTCGGGTTTTTGGTGTGGAAATATATTTACGTTCTAGTCAGGTTAATCACGTGTTCTTGATCTGAGTTGTGTTGAAGTCCTGTAGAATAGACACTGGGAGGGAATCTAGTATAGATATTCGTTTTACGTTTTACGGCTAATCAGTAAAACATAACAGTTGCTTATTATTACTTTTGTCAGAAAACATTCTGATAAGTCGTGTAGGTTGAACGCTATATACGGTTCCTAAGCTATTTCGGTAACCCGCAGTCTAGAACTACACAGCGACTTGAACTCCAGAGAGAAGACACAGGAATGAGAGAAAGCACTTTATTCCAAGGTTCATTTTTGTACAGAAAATCATGGGTATTTATAGATTTTGGCGTCTGTTAAATCAACATCATTTTACAGCCAATCCGATAACAACACATTATGCTACCGACCAATAATAGCACGCCACGTTGGAATTCTAGAACGTTTGTGGCATTGGTGCGTCTAAGATTAAATCTAACGGGAAAGTCGGCCGGTTACTTCGAGTCTGCACCGTTCTTTTGTCCTTAAGGACTTGATTTGTGTGACGTATACATGTCCCAAAAGCTCCTCGAACTTTGTACAGTACTCTCCCCAGTTTTTGCACCACTTCGCCCGGCTCCCATCGGTTCTTCCCGATGTAGGATTTAATGTAGACTTTGTCGCCAATACTGAAGTTCCGGATACTTGGTTCGCGACTACGCTCATCCACTAGTTTGGATGGCAACATGGCATCGAAGACTGTTCGAATACGCCTTCCAAACATGGCTTCCGCGGGAGATTTGCCGTCTTGAACATTTGGGTTTGGGGTGGATCTGTATGATGTCAGAAATTTTGTGATCACCTGCTCAGTCGTCCCTTCTCCTCCCCCTTTCAGTAATGCTCGTTTAAAAGTGTCCACAAAGCGCTCTGCTTGTCCGTTTGATTGTGGATGATAGGGTGGAGAACGAAGATGATTTATTCCGTTTGTTCTACAGAAATGTTTAAACGATTCTGCGGAAAACTGAGAGCCGTTATCCGTCACTAAGGTCTCTGGTACTCCGAAGCTGCTAAATAGGGTAGACAACTTGCGGATCGTTTCTGACGTTGTACAATTTGGCATGATGTATACTTCCGGCCATTTAGTGAATGCATCTACAATAATTAGAAACATTTTCCCTTGGATTGGACCGGCAAAATCTGCGTGAAGTCTTACCCAGGGTCCCGCGGGCATAGGCCAACACTGAGGTTCGCATTTCGAAGGATTTTTAGCGGCTTGAATACATGATGGACAGTTACGGCATTTATTTTCGATATCTTTGTCCATTGACGGTCAATAAGCATAGCTACGAGCCAAAGATTTCATTTTACTGATTCCAGGATGGCCACTGTGAAACTGCTTGAGAACCTTGTAACGTAATAACTTCGGAATAACAATGCGATCACCGAACATAATACAGGAGTCAACAACCATTAGAGAGTCCCGTCGACGAAAATATTGCAAAAGTTCTCCGTCGAGGCGATTGTTTGGCCATTTGGTCAAGAGATAGCATTTAACTGAGCTCAGTATCTTATCACTTTCAGTTATCTTCTTGATAGTTTCAAAGGTTACTGGGAGTCCATTAACTGCGTCATCCAACACGCGATGAACTTCTTCCTCGGCTTTTATATTTGCTACAAGAGTCTCCTCCGGGGTTTTCGATTGGGAGCCTATTAATCTCGACAATGCGTCAGCTTGCCCGAAAGCGGTAGTAGACTGATACTTGATCTTGAAGTCGTAACCCAGAAGTGTGGTTGCCCATCGTTGGAGTCTGTTAGCTGTATGAACAGGAATTCCTTTCTTTGACCCAAAAACTGCAAGTAGTGGCTTATGGTCTGTTATTAGGGTAAAATGTCGACCATATATCATCTTGTGGAACTTTTTCACTGCGAAGATAATTGATAGGGCTTCTTTCTCGATTTGGCTATAGTTCCTTTCGGTCGTTGTCAGAGATCTGGCAGCGTGTGAGATAGCTTTTTCAGACCCATCAGGAAAAATGTGAGAGATAACTGCGCCCACACCATAGTTAGAAGCATCTGAAGCGACGACTATCGGTAGAGAAGGATCATAATGTGTCAATAAGAGATCGGAAGTTAGAAGTTGCTTGATTTTCTCAAAAGATGCTTGGCAGTCTGCAGACCAATTCCATCTTGTGTTCTTTTGTAGTAGGTTGTTTAGTGGAGCACGTAGACGATGGAGATCGGGGAGAAAGGTACCGTAATGACTGACCAATCCCAAGAATGATCGTAGGGTATTAACGTCCCTGGGTCTAGGCATTGTTTTCACTGCTTCAATGTTCTCTGGATCTGGTCGTCTTCCGTCTTTATCTATTATGAACCCAAGGTACCGTACTTGCTGCATATAGAAGTCACACTTTTCCACTCGGAGGCGAAAACCATAATCAGCTATGCGTTCTAGTACCTGGTCCAGTTTCTTCTGCAGGTCCATTTTATCTACTGCCGTAATTATGATGTCGTCTACGTAAGCTGCAGCTCCTGGAATACCTTGTAACATGGTATCCATAATTTGCTGGAAAATAGAGGGCGCTGTCTTTACCCCAAAAGGTAGTCGGTTATACCGGCACAGACCTTTGTGCGTGTTGATCGTTAAGAGATCTTTGCTTTCATCAGATACAGGAATTTGTAGGTATGCGTCTGATAAGTCCAATTTTGCAAAATATCTGCCACCGTTCAGCTTAGCGAAAAGATCTTCTGGTAAGGGTAACGGATACTGGTGAGACTGTAGCGCTTCATTTAATCCCGTGGAGTAGTCTGCACATAAACGAACACTTCCATTCGACTTCTTGACCACTACTATTGGTGCAGCCCAATTCGAGAAGTTCACAGGCTCGATAACACCCATTTGCTGAAGTCGTTGTAATTCTTGTTCAACTATTGGAAGAGCAGCATAGGGTACGGGTCTTTTAGGTCGAAAAACGGGAGCAGCTTCAGGTTTTAAAGTTAACAGTGCTTTAGCTTTCGTACATTCTCCCAATCCTTCTCTAAACACGTTTTGATGTCTTTGTAGCATGGCATTTTTCTGATTCCATTCTGGGGTGTTGTCTGTACTTACTCGTCTGCAGATACTGTTGATAGAATGATCTGCTAGTTTAAGTGTTTCTATAAGGTCCAACCCCATTAAGTCTAGTGCTGGCTTCTTAGTGAGATACAATGTTGCATTTCTTGTTACCGTACCTTTAGAAACAGTGCATGGTATTTCTCCAACAATATTCAACTTCCCCCTAGATGCACTGTATGCCAGCTGTGTTGTTGGGAAAACTGTGAGTCTCCCAATGTTCTTCCACGTTTCTGGGCTGATTAAAGTGATATCAGAAGCTGTGTCCAGCTGAAGACGGGCACGGTGTTTATTAATATTCAAGGTCACATACTTTCTTTGGTGGCAACTTCGTGCTCTGTTATGTGATACCAATATCTTGTTGGCTGGAGCACTATATCTGTATTTCTTTGAGTAAGATATCACGGAACGTTTTCTATAGTCTCTTCTCCTGCAGAAGTTTTCTTTATGCCCCTTCCGATTACATTTGCTGCAACGATGTTCTTTATATGGGCAAAACCTCTTATAGTGCCAACCTCCACGTGCCCAGCATGGAGATGGTGGTTTGTCGCTGTTATTTTGGAAATTATGGGTACTGGAACCTTGAAAGACTTTTCTCTTAACTGCATTGACGTTACGGAAAGAGTTACCGTTTTCTACCATTGATGTATCATGCTTTAAGTTTACTAACCTTTGGCACTCAGTAGTCACTTCTTGCAGGGTCATATTAGGGCAGTGTTCGAGTTTGCTTAGGAGTCTGGTTCGGATATCGGCATCTTCGGGTGAACGCAGGCTGCAGATAAACACTAAGCATTTAAACTGATCTTCAGACATGGACGACAATCTAAACCTCTCACATTCTCGGTTCACCGTTCCTGCATGCTTTACCCAATCATCTCCTGGTTCTTTTGTTAACTTTAAGCATTGGTAACGGATATTAAATAGAGATGATTGTTCTCCGAATATTTGGGATAGGGTTTTGACTGTATCATCAAAACTAAAATCTCGTGGGTTGCTATAGCGTTCATGTTCCATAGTACCAAGTTTTCTAAGCATCATCCAGTTTGCAAAGATCAATATAAAACAAATCTTCATACTTCTTAAACCACGACTCGAAAGTTACACCTGCTGCACCATCAAAATTAAATTCATGGATGGCGTTAATGACTGAATCAGTATGTGATACTTGAGATTCACTAGAAGCAGGGTTTTTCTCGGACAGGCAGAATTTCTGCATCAGGGTTTCCATGATTCTAATATGGGACTCTTCAAACCTTTTTTCTTGACGCACCATATAAGCTTCTAATTGCTCCAAGGAAATATTCATTGAAGTTTTCATCCCCTTCGCCACTGATAAGTCGTGTAGGTTGAACGCTATATACGGTTCCTAAGCTATTTCGGTAACCCGCAGTCTAGAACTACACAGCGACTTGAACTCCAGAGAGAAGACACAGGAATGAGAGAAAGCACTTTATTCCAAGGTTCATTTTTGTACAGAAAATCATGGGTATTTATAGATTTTGGCGTCTGTTAAATCAACATCATTTTACAGCCAATCCGATAACAACACATTATGCTACCGACCAATAATAGCACGCCACGTTGGAATTCTAGAACGTTCCATCACACTCTGATTGGCCAGGACTCTTCGGCTCCTTGTGGGCCTCTGGAGGCTCCGTTGAAGTTCTCCGGAAGCCGACCCAACACATTCCATCAAAACTTTACTGTTTACCTGATAGTTTATTATTGTTTATGATATTTCCAATTTTTATCAAAACTCATCCCACCACTTTTTACGGATAGGAAGGAAGATTTA